TATGCAAGAATGGCTTTTAAGAAATTAGAAACAGTAAAATTAGGCTAAAAACAATTTTTTTCATTAGATTTAAAACAAAAATAAAATAAAATAAAAAACCCAATAACTATTTTATTTTTTCTATTATTCATCAATTTGAAATTGAAGAATAAAAGAGAGAATAAAAGTAGAATTCTACAGAATGTTGCTTCGCCAAGAAAACGACTGATCTGCGATTGTTACATCGAAAACTGTTGCTTTAAATCAATGTACAAAAAACGACCGAGCTGAAAGCTATTTTAGATCGGTCGAGGCATACTGTAAGATATATAGATGATGACAACCATGCATATAAGCATGGTTGTCAAAGCTGTCCATAAGCCAGCTAACACTCGAATACTAAGAAAGTCGTTTCGACTCCATCTTGATTACAAGATTCTAAGAGTTTACATGGGACTTTGTGATCTAATATTAAAAAAGAAAAACTCCTCCTCCTGTAGCCAGGGATAGCGACACAAGAGTCTGGCACATCAGGCGACAGTCAAGTTTCAGTAGTGCAAATAGCGCCTGCTGGTGCAGGTGGCAGCGGCCGTCAGGACGGAGGCAAAAGAAATGAGAGAAAGCAACGAAAACGAAATTTCATAGTGTGCCAATTTTTAAATGACGGCTGAACTCTCGCTTTAGGAGCTGCTTGGGGAGTTTCACTTCTAACAATGACATCGTCATGGATTTCAGCTTCATATCCTTGCTTGTGTTCCATCCACAGCATGAAATCGCATACAGTTGTGAAGTGATGAGATATCTCAAAGTAAATGTTTGCCTGTCCAATCTGACTCCTGTTATTCATAATGTATGGAACAGCACGTAAAAGGATTGTTCACTTGAATTTCTCAAAACATAAATTAAAGGCTTGTGATCTCGCGACAGCCGGGAAAGATACTGCTATCGATTCTCAAATCTTTCTTTGTTTCTTATATATAATTTTTTTTTACTATGGTACGACGTAGGAAGTAAAATAACGCATCTCAATGAGATTTCTCTCCTCACGTTGAATTTTCCAGGAGCCCGCGCCTCAACTTCGCCCGCCCTCAAATTGGGGCATGGTCCTCAATCACAAAATTGGCTTTGTCCTGTCATACCTCTATACTGACATTATTCGGATCTTGCTTCATACTAATGCTTTTATCAGAGTATTGTTGATTTAAAGACAACATGAAGGGAAATGAAAGCCCGTTATCGTGAGGGTAATTGCATTAATATATCTCGTTTTAAAAGTAATTCTGCGAGAATTTCAGGCAACACACTACCGGTTGTTTGTTTGATTGATTAAAAGGGCGCCCCCTAGTATGTTCACACAAGGGCAGTCTTGTTCACGATGAGATCTCCGCAAAAAAATTTATCAAATTCTATCCATTTCCGGTTAGATGTCTCAAAGACATCTGGTGAAAGGTTGCATGAACTACACTTTGACCAGCGTTAACCGCCGGTTTTAGCTAAGGAAGACCCGCAGACGAAGACCTTCATTTCTTTATCTAACATGATTGTGACGAAGGCTATTTTTAGTTATTTGCGTGACTTTCAACACCCTCTTGTTTTGTGTGACATACTGTCGAGTTGTCGGCATTATGTTTCATTCGGCCACGAGACACGTGTGTTACAAGTATAAAGAGAAAATAGTCTAAAGAGAGTCGCAAGTCTAAAGAGAAGATAGATGAAAGGATTGTATAAATATTACAGTAACAGAACGGGGAAAGAGATATGTCATCTTGTTTATTTTTATATTTATATATCGAAACGTGTACAATCAAAGGTGGTTTTGTTTCGCTTAGGATATTTGTGTTGTTTTGATTTATCTGTATACACGCCCCGCGTGTTCGAGTTTAGGACATTTCGATAAGTGTATATCGAACCAAGTGCCTCTAAGAACCGTGTCTATTTATTGGATTCATCCTAGTGCTCACTATACCTGTCTGGTCAGCACAGGTTAGTTTAAAATACTAGATTGACATCCTTTCAGTCGATCCACTGACGTCAAAGCGCGCTATATTTCTTCCTCTGGTTGCCGTCTGCGTCTCAAACACCTTTCTACTTAGGTTCTCTCTTCTTTCCGCAACCCATAAATGTTAATGCTCGGGTGGAGATGAAAAAAGGAGTTCCAAAAGTTTTGTAAACTAGACGCTCGAGGAGCGTTCACCCGGGCTTCCTATCGAGCGTTTTACTTGAACATTCACCACTGGATAGTTTGGTAATTAATTAATTGGTAATTGAGTCTAAGCATGTCTCGCATACTGGGGCTCTTCATTCATTTAAGGGGTCATCATTTTCTTCTTCATTACTATTTGATTTATCATTTTCTCTTACATCATACTCCAATGCAGTATCACTGTCTGTTGTTGCATTGTTTGATGTAGCTTGTTGATGTGTATCATTATCGTCTGCATCATTTTGTAAAGCTGTGAGGTTGCTGAATATTTTTAATATCAACTAGTATGTCTTTCTACATTGGCTTATGTACTTTGAGCCAGTTAAGAACTTGCTGCATTAACTTCAGTCGTACTGCTTGAAAATAAACATGTCCTCTAAATTGTAACTTTCTTTTAAGCTTTAGCATTATTATACCAGATCTGTTAGGTGGACGAGGGAGTTGATTACATGTCTGATCACATTCTTCAGGTGTATTGCATATTGCACCTTTAATTTTCTCTGTTGTCCTGTAGGCATGACCACAATCTTCTCAAATACTATTCGTTGAGCTATTATCGTATGTTCTAGTTTTTTAGTGAGGATAGTACTGAGGTTATTTCATCCACATACATATTCATTCACTACAGCCTGACATGGTAATTTTCCTTTCATGAACTTCTTATGACTAGTGTTGCATATATACTGTTTTCCATCAAATGACTGCTGAATATTGAAATATGTTTGGCAAGGGTACTTCTTGTTTATACATGTTATTACTGATTTCTTATAAAGTATTCGATTACAGACAGTAAATATAAAATAAGGGCCTTCTCTTATTTTCCTCTTAAACTGGTCAATACACAATTCAACTGATCTGGCTTTCACTAATTTCTTATTGCATTGGGTAAGTAATTCTTTCATGTTTGTGGCATCCATAGTTAAATATTTTATTTTAATTTCTTCTAGAAACCTTTTTTTAGCAACAGGTTCCATGCTGTCATTCATATGTATTTTTTGTGTTTTCTTGTGGTGTGTTTCCTTTCAATTTCAGTAATTTTATATGAACGGCAAATAAATTGTATATCATATTCAATTGTCTGACATTCCTTTTTTTCTTTTAAATAATATTATAAATTTCCTCTACTAGATTATTCACACCACAAATGTGTTTTTGTCTGTTTCATTGCAGGTGAATGACTTTCTTCAGATGTCAGAAGAGAAAACAACTTCATTAACGTGTACATTTATGTTAGTGCCAAAAACTGTAACACTGTCAGGCAGGGTGACAGGGTAAACGGTGCTTACTGTGTATTGTATTGGTAAGCTGAGACCCATTTCAATTATTGCATGTAAGGTATTTGAATTTCAGTAACTACAAGGAAAAATAATCGAGTAACATACAGAATAAAGAACTACTGCAAAACAGTGGTCTTTGTAACACTTGTCTTGACCTGATGATCTCTTTAATACCTCTCTTCAGTACATTGTTTCTTATTGCCATGTCATATTTGTGATTTTTAAACCTTTTAGTTCATACAGATCAGTTGCTCCATATGGGTGTGTTGCCTTGGTGCCAATGCTTTACTTTTCATGGTTAGGTATTTAAATAGCAGCAGCTGACATTTTTTTTTTCAAGTATTTTTTTCTTTTGCTGTACGCTCACTCACTCCACAGCCTCGGCGAATTGTGACCCAGTTATAGTTACTCAATGTTTCCGTCAGGAAACAATACGAAAGTGGTAGAAATATATTATTAATGATAATTTGATGACCATTCGGACACAACTGGCTTTACGATGTTATACGCAAAATCATAAATAAAAATAGAAAAAGATCATTCGACGACTTATCCATAACCCTTTTATGGCATCTGTCAGGAATCGAATGACAGCAAGGCCATCAGATAAGTGATATTCTTTGCCGGTGGAAATTATTGGTTTTATTCATCGACCGGCTATAAATGTAAGTCTAGAGATGTGTCAAAAGTTATATAACCCAGAAGCACTCGAGATAATAGGTGTCGAAATAATTATTTGACGTCCGAAGTTCCGTCACGGCTGCTTTCTATCGCGCGTAACGCTTTAACGGTTTGATATGTCTGAATGTCTGGAAGAGACTAGCAAAATTGTTATTTTTTAAGTGTGAGTGCATTTATTTTATTCATTTTACAACTTAAAGGTAAAGGAAGCTGAAATTTGATGATTTCCCCCTAAAAAAAGCCAGGGTCTTAGTTTTCCAGGTCTTAGTTTTCCGGGTCTTGGGTCTTATGTCTTAGGTCCTAGGTCTTAGGTCCTAGGTCTTAGCTATCCGGACACCCTTTGAAGGGGAAAGCAATATATATCATCATCCTAAACCAGATGAGCCCATGACATATCAGCGCCATCTTGTATGAGTTTCCGCAGGTTACAACGTGACTTCCGCCTATTCTTGTCGAAGCGTATTCACAGTGTTCTCGTGTATTAGGAAGTTCGCGTTGTGCGTTTGAGCTAGTTTCTGGCAGATTTGAACAGAAAAACAGGTCCTTTGTTGGACTGTAATGATACTTTGATCGATAGCGCTGCTAACGAAATGTTTTGCCGGTCGAAAGTTGTCGACCTGGTTTCAGTCGATCTGATTGATTGGCAACACCTCTTTCTCTTGGAATCCTACACACCATCAACCTAAACCTCATAGCTGCCTAGTGAGCAGAAGAACAATGACATCAGAATACTCGGGAAAGATAAATATTCATTTTAATTGCATTTGTGTTTAACTTATATGTACAGAAATTTCTGAAGAAGTACTTAATCAGAAGTTTATCATATGACAAGCCTTCAAACTTGTATTAAATAAATTGATGTACATATTTCTCAATTTTAAGATGATTGTGTGATGACAGTACACCGCGCCGACTGTCAATATTTGAATATTCAGCTTGAGCTCCCTCCTAAATCTTAAGTATTTCAATTTGAACTTGCAGAATATAACCTATGAATTAAATGTGGGTCTCTAAGTATCATCCATGAAATTCTTACAGGCAATTTTCACCATGATATTAAAGCACCACAAACTCAAGAACAAGGAAAAATAAGTTACGCAGACAAAAACTGACGGAGAAATTCATTGTTTTCATAATTTTGAATTCATTCATAATTTTGAATGACAAATTATTCAGACCATTGCCAATGTTTGTGTGGTTACTGCTGATGATCAAACTTGACTGTCTAGAGAAAACATTGGTGTGGTTGGAATCAACTACAATAATATTTATTAGTATTTTGAATTTTAAGCTCTTAAATGAACCCTTTAAATTCTGATTGAAATAACATAATGAAAGTGATTTTTGGTTACATTTTAATGACACTGCAATTGTATTATTGTTGTAATTATTGTTGCAAAACATGTGACCTCCTAATATATATTATTTTCTTGTTCTTTACACGACTAGCTGTACAGTGTATGTAGATTTGCTTTTGTAGCATACAAGCTTCTACACTTGTTGCATCTCCATTTCCGATTAGTGTTGATGCGGGAATTGTTACACTTATTGGCTGATAAGCAGGGCCCCATAGACCATCTACAATAGGGAATTTTTGTTTTAGGTGGATCTGACCAGCTTGTATCTCAGAATCACACAGCTATGTTGTCTTGTTTAAAATGTGATCCTTTGAATCTTCACACAGTATCAGGGTTGAGGCTGGGTCTTTAGGGTCCTGAAAATGCAACCATGACTTTGGATCAGGAGAGCTGTCATCAATAATTAAGACAGGAATTTGCAGGTTGTATTCTTTTTGTAGTACCACTTTGCCACTTCATCTGGTGAACAAGGAGGAGGTTGTTGGATTGATCACTTACGCTTATTTTAATTACATCAGTGCTGTCTTCTTCCTTCAGTGATTGTAGTTGTTGATAGGACTCACTATCACTTGTTAGGCAGTAAGGCCTGAAAAAGAAATTATCATCTGGGCTTTCTTCTTTCCACTTCTTGATTTTTAGGTCAAGGTTTTCCTGATCAATTTATGAATGTCTGCTCACCACTTTGGCAAGATACATGTGGTTCCTGACATCCATGGTTGTTTGGAAGAACTGTCTGTTGGTTAGATCTGGAGGCTGTTGGCCTATGAAAAGCTCCTTCTTTACATAATGACGCAGGTGCCGTTGCATTTCAGAAACATAATTAACACCACTTCCAACAAGCTCATGAATTTTTTTAACCAGTGTCTCATCAACAGGCTGAAGTAGCCCAGTAGTCTGATAAAACAACAAAGAAAAAAAAGAATAATTGCTTTATTATTTATTCATTTAAAAAAATAACACAACCTCGTCCCCAGGTTTTCTTGGTCAACAGTTCAATAACCTGCAGCCAGCTGCTTTTGATGTCATTGGTTCAATATGAGAACATTTTTTTCCAAATTTGGTCAACAGCAGCTGGTTATGATGAAATATGCGGGTGGTTTTAACCTATCAGAAACGGGGAAATATTTTGAATGCATAATAATGCAAATTATACTCAGCATTATTATAGGCAGACCCGTGGTAGGGCTTTTCAGTAATAGTTACAGAATGTTATAATTACAGATTACTGAATGCTGTATTTTTTAAGAAAATCCATTTAAAAAAGTCCATGAGAGCAATTCATCAATTAAAAGCAGTGCCTGTGGAAATCCCTATCCAATAAAATTGTGATGTTATAATCTTGATATTGAGTTTGAGGAATAAGTGCCAGTGTAGCTAAAAGAAGCTGTACATGTAGTACATTTGATTGGTCTTTTGTTGTGATGTATAATCTTTATTTATTCTTTATATATATTCCACATGACAGTGGAAGCAGCACAGTCTATAGAAGACTGATGATCTGTGTTAAGTTAAGTCACCTTAAATCCCCCACCAAACTTAAGTGTCCTGAGTGCAAAAAAAAAGTTAATTGATGGCCAAGTACTTACCCTCCCCATGGGGTGAAATAAGTGATCCATAGGTTTTGGTAGTAATATGTAAATACACTCCTCTGTAGTTATTGTTTGCTTGTTTTCTGACTCTAGGGATGTTCTCAGAAATTTTGACATTGTCTCCCTTCTACTCTTTGTGTTATCTGAAATCTAATGATACAATGTTTTGATTAAAATAATGTTTGAAAAATTAGTTTCTAAAATATTTACTCTGTTTCCATTACAGGTAAATTTTTTTCATTTCTGCACAATGAAATGTCCAGGTCGTCGTATCATCTGTCCACTTCACCTACATGTAACACAAGGCCCATTGGGATTAAGCACCTTTTATTAGGCTGGTGATCATTCATGTTAATGGTAGTGCCCCCTGGACCCTAATTTCAATAATTTAAATAAACTGACCTCATTTTCAGGATACTTGATTATTTTCCGCAGGTGAATCTTTGCTAGATTGTCGCATTTCTTCATATCCTGTACTATAAAGCACTTTTTGGTGCTGTTATAGCAGTGATCAGCATTCTCCTTCTGAAACCAAATGGATTTATTGGATTGTTAGATAGAGCAGTCATATGGGAATAGTCAAGTTATCAGTAAACTTAGAAGTAATGAAAAGCATCCTTTCAAATAGTACTTGATTCCTACCTTGTAAACTGCAGTCACAGTGATCTTTATTTTGACAAATAAAATGTGATATGTCCTTTTACTTGCAAGTGGTAAAAAAGAAACATTATTGCATGCTATTAGCCCTTAGGGAGAGGGGAGTGCTCACCAAATTGCTTAGAAAAATCAGTTGGGACTTACCACCTTGTTAGCTTAAGAGCAAATAGGTAAAGGTAAATCAGTAACTATGTAATGCCCTATATATGATATCCTCTTTGGGAGTCCTTAATTAGTAATATCATCTTGTTTACATTCTTGTTTAGTTAATTATTATGCATGCTTACATCTTTTTGCAGTCTCTTTTGAGCCTCCTTCCTTTTGAGTGCCTTATTTCTGTCTGGCCCATTTTGGCATTCTTAACCTTTGACCCCCACAATTTGGAATGGGATGCCATCAAAACTTAGTCTGCATCCTGCCATCTCCTGTGAGTCAGCCCATTGTATACAGTGGTTCTTAGCATTTTTCTCTGCATTTTCTTTTACTCCTACGTTTTTATATGAGAAGAGGAACCAAGTTGAGTTAGCAATACAATACATGTACACAAACACATATGTACATATGTGTACATGGGTGCTCAAAATGTAGGGCCTTGACATCAAGCCCGCCCCACTCAGATGTAGCCAAAGGACTGGCGTAATGGATGGGGATGCTGGCAGCTGTGTGTCAATACCACTGAGTAGGGTTTTGACACTTTAAGCTTGATCTAAATTAATTCAGCATTTCTCGCTAAATCTTGCTGCAGACTGACAGTAAATTGACACTTGAAGCTAAGTTGAATTTTAATTACATTTTAATTTTGAAAGTCTAACTGACCAGTGTAAACCGAAGAATAATGATGTGTACATGTGTTCTTAAGATATTAATAATTATTGGAAAAAAGTTATATATAATTTTCCCTTTTTTATTTTTATTTATCTATATTTCAAGTTAATATCACGACCCTACAAGCCCCTGATTTTAGATACCTATAGTGTCTAAATGAAGTTTTACTTCACTTTACTTTACTGTCAGTATGGTTTGTTTTGTAAATCTTTACATGTGAGCTTACTTACTCAGCTTACTGCAATTTGAAAATCCTCATGTTTGTTTAAATACAGTGAAGCGTGTGGTCGTAGCTATCCTGTACTGTTTTGTGAGTTCGTCAGCGCAGCTTTCATCGTTAACATACCCGGAATAAGGGTCAAACTGTACGGTCCATCTTGAAGCCCAAGGTGTACTGTTATCATCCATGTCTGTTCTTCTACCAAAAATTTAGATTTCCCGCTAATATTTACCCGCGAGCCGCAAAACATAAATGCATGAGTGAAGAAATGTAAAATGGTTTCCGTGTTTACATAGCCTGATGTAAACACGCGGGAGGTTGGGAGAACACTCGATAAGCGTAGGAAACCACGACTCGAAGCGGAGTGGTTTCTAGCTTATCGAGTGTTCTCCCAACCTCCCGCGTGTTTACATCAGGCTATGTAAACACGGAAACTATTTTACATTTCTTTTATAAAATAACTAATGAAAGTATAAATGATCTTTGACCTGAATCTGGTTTTGGTCGATGATAGCAAGGTCAGAGGATAACATCGACCGCAACCATTATTAAGTGTCGATCCTCCTTTTAACGCCTTTATAACAGGCTAAACTTTTTCTTAAATATGTGATCTAGACAGAAATTAGTTTGTACAAGCTATAGGAAGTCACACTGGTCACGGTCTCTTGGTTCGCCAGAAACGAGCAGAAAAATAGTAGACCCCCGCCACGATTCCGCTGACGTGTCATGGGCTCATCTGGTTTGGGACGATGATATGTATTGCCTTAGAGGTGTTGCCAATCAATCAGATCGACCGAAACCAGGTCGACAACTTACGAACCGGCCAAACATTTCGTTAACAGCGCCATCGATCAAAGTCTCATTAGAGTCCAACAAAGGACCTGTTTTCTGTTTAAATCTGCCAGAAACTGGCTCAAACGCACTACGCGAACTTCCTAATGCATGAGTACACTATGAATACGCTTCAACAAGAATAAGCGGAAGTCACGTTGTAACCTGCGGATACTCATACATGGCCCAGACTGGTTGACTGCTTTTCTTTCTTTACTCGCGTTGAACCTGTTATACATAAAAACATTAAAACAAAAAAACAAAAAAAAACAAAAAAAACAAACAAACAAACAAAATTTAATTTTTCTGTTGGTACATGATTCTGTACCTGAATTACAGCCATATAATAGTAACTAATGTTCACGAAGTTAGAGTGCTGTTCAGAAGGACCAGGTCGAATGTATAAAATCGCGGCTGACGGGATAATGATTTCAACCATGTTAATGTCCTAAACCCTATGATCTAGCGCTAAAATTGACTATAATTATCTATTGCAAAAATGATTTAGTCCATAGATTTGCGTATTACAACAATTGTGCACATTTAAAAAAATCAATAGTTATGCATGCGTAAACGTCTGTTCCGCGTTTATAATAATACGGCCAATTTGTAAAACAATGTAACATACAGGTCAGTTGAAAATCTGTTTTCCCGTGGCTGCTGATTTAACAACCCCGTCATCTTCGATGCAAAGAATGATGTTAAGCGAATAGTTTTACGCTTACCTTTTAGGACTAACACTCACTTTAGTATATTTAGCAATGCAGCTTTGATTATCGTTTTGCCAATATTTGCAACATACATGAATTCGACAAGCATAATATGTCCCTCACAATCACTTGGCAAATTCGAAAAAAGCAACACACCAACAACACAAAATATGATATGGCGGGCAATTGGTAATACTTATGTAAAACACCAAAATGCTTTTCGTCTCGCTTTGTCCAACACTCTTCCAACTTCTTAAGAGATAATCCTACTCAACGAATGACTTGGTCAATCGAACTGCACCCCTGAAAATTAGATATGTGTTCGGTATGAAGACGACATGGGCTAGCAATCCTTTAGGTAATGTGCCACGAATACTAGCCATTCCCTGAAATATTGTTTTCGTTTGATACCTAAGGTATCGGGCAGAACACTGGGAAAACCATTCCAAAACCCTCTCCGGTAAATCACTGTGCCCCGACAGCTTTCCGGTGAAGTATGCGTTTCGCTGTTTGTTTTCATCAAAACACGCTTTGGTAGATGACTGTTGTGGCCCAATTTTGAACGGTTTTCTTTAACTCATTATGAAACCGTAAGGCAAAGGTACCAGAACACGGAAAGTACTGAATCTGCTTACCCATGTTGCGAGATTTTTATTTGCGGCAAATGGAACTAGCCAAATTTAGAGGTAAAAGTTGCTGTTTACCTTCATCTATTTCTTCCCGGTTTGATCCTGTCATATAACAATTAAAATATTATTTCTTCATTTCAGTACAAAATCTATTTCTCCCAGTTACAGATAGACAGAACACACACCCTATTGGAATAAACGTTAGAGAGGAGGACTGGCGGGAGTATATAAAAATCGCGGCTAAGCGGTTGAGGTCGCAAAAACACATTCTAGCAAAATTAAATTATTTTTACTGTTCGTGGAAAATTCATCGGCTCGTCTCGTAAAATGTCGGTTTCCAATAAAGCTTAAGAAAAGTTCATGGATAAACTTTAATTGAATAAAAGAAGATGACTGCACTTCTAACTCTGTTACCTTCCCTGATGCCAAAAGGCTAAGCCTGAAATAAGCCATCGATATCCATAACAATATGATTTGATGAAATCATTATTTGCCTTTTTCTGTTACTGGCCACATTTGAAAACAAGTAACCTACTAACGACAAAAAATATGATATAGTCAGGGCAGTTGTTAATATTGCGCCACTCATGTTAAACTATCTAAATTGCTCTTCATCTCGTTTCTGGTAAAACGCTATTATTGTCTTTAAAAAGGGCTCTGTTACAAAGAATGGCTTAACGTTTTCCCATTTAGGACAGACACTCCCAGTAGTGCATGTAGCAATGCAGATTTGACACCCCCAGTCTAAGGGTACCTTCGCAAAAGCACTTGTAGGTTCTCTCGCCACCTAAGTTGGTGCTTGACAATTTAACAAATTTTGCGTCATTTGTATCACAGTTTACACCAATGAAGGTCGTATTCTGCCAAAAAAAAGATAATCATAATGATTACAATGATGATAATAATGATAATTATAAATGGCGTCAAGAGTTCGAAGGTGAAAGGCTAAAACATTTCCTGCATGCGAATAGGCTAAAGTACATATAGCATTATTTATGTTTTAAGGAAGCCGACGGCAAAAGTTCCCAAAGAGGTGGCGTTCTAATTTTTTGCCTTGCGAAACTAAACGCTGAAACGATTTCGCTTAAGATCGTTCTTAGAATTGTCAAATCCTTTTCGGAGTCAATGGCAATTAAAAATATTGTTTTTGAATTTGTCGGTGCAAGAAGTGACTGTAGAACATTATTTTCTAGAAAGCCGAGTCGGTCTAGTCACGGCGAGTTTGTGCGTCAAAGGTAAGCTGAAGTATAGTCTGCAGTGCGCTTAAGATCGTTTTTAGACGATGATTATTGTTAGCGTTGCTTTTCGGAATCGCTTCTGCGTAGGAATTAACTCAGTACGTGTTGTTTGATAAAATAGTTGTATTTCTGAAAGTTAAGTATATATAAATTATACTGTAACATTGGAGAAAATTTAAAAATTTCCTCCATGTTAATTTCTTAAGTTCAATCTTTGAAAGTTTGAAGGATTCTTTAGTTCTTTTCATGAATTTTAAAGAAACTTCTAACAGTACCGTTCATAATAAAATTCAAACCAAAATGATTTATTCTTTCTTCTGTACCCAATATAGAGTTCATCTCTAAACTTACGTTTGGTTCCTTCATTTCCACTTCTTCCCTAGCGGCCAAACCTACTGATGTCTTACCCGGGCTGGATGCAATCTTGTAAACACAGGAACTGGCTCCAGGTCCAGGTAGTCCCTGGGTACCATTGTAACCGGATGGTCCACGAGGGCCCTGAGTACCATTATATCCTGGAGGTCCGGCAGGTCCAGCAGGTCCGGCAGGTCCAATATCACCCTTAGTGCTATTGAATCCCAAAGGGCATGTGATCTACGAAAAACAAGATTTCCTGTTTTGAAATGAAGAACGATAATTTTTTGGCCAAGAAAGGGAATTTTCCGAGGAGGAAGTGATGATTTCACTGATATTGAGGAGCACTTGCGAGGTGGGGTGGCGGAAGGCTTGTACAATTCTGAACTGTCATGTATGTATGTTCAGAATTTAACTTACTGTCACATTTTCCAGTTTCTTTTCCACCTGCCAAAGAGATAAGAACTGTCATCAAACCAAACAACTGTAATGATTAACTAAACACGCGAACAGTTGCATTCTGATATCGCCATCCACATCTGTAAGAAACAGAGATATACAAGGAGATGAATATACAGAAAAAAAAATCTTGCCTTTGTGACGTTTTCTTCCAGATTCCCTAAACCTTTTGAAACCTGTCACAATAAGGAATAAAAAGGTTAACATAAAGAGACTATGTCGTAATAAGATAACACTATGTATTTGATTGTGTCGTAATAAGATTGCACTATTTGATTCAAGTGAGATTAACTTGGCATGTACACGTCCTACAAGAAATATAAGAAATTCAAGAAATGGATCTTTTTGATGTGTAATCTTTTTTTCTTTACTAACGAAAACAGTGAAGTAAAAACTCACCTCGGTAAAGTTATTCTCCAGATTCTCTAAACCTTTTGAAACCTGTCAGAATAACAATTAAAAAGGTTTAAATAAAGAGACTGTGTCGTAATGAGATTAAACTATTTGATTCAAGTGAGTTTAATTTGGCGTGAACAAGTACTGCAAGAAATGCCAGAAATTCAAGAAATGGATCTTTTTTGATGTGCAATCTTTTTTTTCTTTACCATAAGACAATAACGAAAACACTGAAAGAAAAACTCACCTCGGTAAAGTTATTCTCCAGATTCTCTAAATCTTTTGAAACCTGTCAGACAAACAATTAAAAAGGTTTACATAAAGAGACCGTGTCTTAATGAGATTAAACTATTTGATTCAAGTGAGTTTAATTTGGCGTGTGCACGTCCTACGAGAAATGTCAGAAATTCAAGAAATGGATCTTTTTTGATGTGCAATCTTTCTTTCTTTACTATAAGACTATATTGAAAACACTGAAGGAAAATCTTATCTTGGTAAAGTTATTCTCCAGATTCTCTAAACCTTTTGAAACCTGTCACAATAATGAATAAAAAAGTTTACGTAAAAAGATTGTGTCGTAATAAGATAACACTATATATTTGATTGTGTCGTAATAAGATTGCACTATTTGATTCTAGTGAGATTAATTTGTCGTGTACACGTCCTACAAGAAATATAAGAAATTCGAGAACTAGATTTGCTTTGATGTGTAATCTTTCACACGAGAAAAGGGAAAATTGAATACAGGGAATACAAAAAGTTATTGATACATATAAGAATGACTAAATCTACCAAATACGTAAGAATTGATGCAAATAAGGGCTCCAAGATCAATGAATATTATCAAAAAATAATCCACAACTGAATAAGGAAATCAATTAATGAATATCAAGGAAGATAATTCAAAACTATATTTGTTGAATTGTCAAGGATAATAAGAGTAAACTTACTTTGTTTTTAATATTCAGCAACTCCTTTTTAATCTGTAATGAAAAAGTAGAATCAAATTTGAACAATACATACTTTTTAATTGTTTTGTTATTCGAATGCCAAACACACAGATAGTTTCTTTTCTAATAAGGCTGCCCCTCAACCCCCTTTACTTAAAAAAAGAAAAAAGAAAAAAAAAACCAGAAGTTCACGACTATAAACAAACACTGAAGGAAAAACTCACCTCAGCAAAGTTATTCTCCAGAATCCTCTTTGAAACCTGACATAAAAACGAATAGAAATAGGTTCCTGACTAAAGTTTAAAAGAGAAGTATTCGTTTTTCGAAATAAAATATAAAGACGGAAAGAGATGAAACGAAAATGAAAAGATGAAATGCGAGTAATTAAACAAGAGTCGAGCAAAGAAATTTTGTGCACCCTCTACCCTTCAAAAAACCGAAAAAAATTTGAATGAACACTAGCAGACTTCCCTAATTAATAACGAAGAATTTTGACCTACCGAAGGTTTCCTCAAAGCCGAGAGGTTCCTTTTCAGCTCTTGTTGATTCTTCTTGAGTTCTGATATTTCTTCATGAATAGATGAAAGAAAAACATTAATAAATGAGTGGATGCATAAATACACGATGGCTGGAGATTTAAATAGTGATAATAATAATAATAATAATAATAATAATAATAATAATAATAATTAAGTCTTTTCGGTTGGATTTATGTGGTACTTGTCTATACTTTTAATCAACAAATTACGGCGTCTGAAAATATACCTCCTCAAAGGAGAGAAGTCCTTATCGGCGGAAATGGAATTGTTTTTACGTATACCGAGCCGTTGCTCTTCGGAATAAAATACACCATGAGAAACATATGTTTAATGCATGTCATGGCAGTTCAAATACATATAAAGATATTTGAACTGCCACTCTTCTCCTGGGACTCCTTGGAGGATCTTATCAGGAACAGTAAGATCACGGGAGCTCGGGCAGAAACTGTGGACATATTTCCAGTAGTGCATTTGTACATATTCATTGTCGCAGAAGAAACGGTTCAATTAACAAATGATTTTTCAACAAATAAGCAACTTAAGTGTTAAATCACTTTACGTGATATGATAATATTATGTTCAAGCAAACCATTTCTATCTCGAGCTGCCTCGATGTAGCTCTTTGGAATTACCACGCCAAGAAAAAAGCCAAAAGTAGACCCAATACATGAAATAAAACTCAAAGGGTTTTCTGGATTTATTTCCTGGCGAATTATAGCTAATTTTTCTAAACTTCGAGACCATTATGCGATGCAAGTTTCAAAATACGCGTTGGGGAAATTTATCAGTAGCTTTTATCACATATCATGATTATTCAATAAATAAACTAACGCTTCCCTCGAATCTACATCACCTGAATCGATTTATGATGAAGCGGCGGGAAACAGCGATGCCTTATCTCCAAAATGGTTTTTTGGATCTCGACACAATGTTTGCCCCGTGGCGATCGCAGAAATCTTCGTGCAAACTGGCAACTCATTCATTAGGATATAGAAATTAAAACTTGGATGTTGCTAAACATTTTAAGATCCAAGGATTTTTTTGATAATAATTACTATGCAAAAATAGGCCTCGTTGTTTTTTTAAATTTGATTACCGCGAAAAATTTTGGCTATTCAATATTTTCGGCTTTTCCGGATTATGTTTACCGCTTACTCCTCTAATGCTCTTTTGCGGTGTTTGAACCTTTTTCACATCTTTCGATTCTCAATAGTTATAAAACGATGAAACAATGCGGTCAATTTGTCATTTAGAAAGTAGCGCAACAGAAAAATTCTTTAATAAACCCAGGGAATAAGTCCTTGGGGTCTTTTGGTCTCAAGGAAAAACTGTAGATAAGCCACAAAAAGATAAATTTTTTTGCAGTAGGTTAAATTTTTCAGTCTGAACGGGTAACAGTGAATGTAATTCCGCTTTTATGATTAACCAGAGCTCAAGAATCGACCCACAAGGAGAAGGATGATCTTAAATCAAGATGGTGAGACTTCCCTGACCATCTTATACGTTAATGACTTTTACATGCTGTCAATAACATCGGGAATTTATTTTCGAGACTTAAACTGAATCCAAGAAAAACAAAACAACGAACCAAAACAAATGAATAAAAGGAAAAATCCTATTCATCATACACATTTCAAAGCCCGGGAAGGGGGGATGATTTTTGTAAATAAAGAGAATATCGCTGTCAATCAAGGTATTCACGATTCTCGCGACGCGTGCTGACATGCATTTTTATGTATATAGGTGTCACACCTAGGAATGCGGTGCATATTAAACCATTGTTGTTTAATGGCGTTTTGATGCACTAGAAGTGTGTTGGCGTGCCATTATAAAAATTAAAAACAAAAAAAAAACATGTCTTTGAACGTAATTATCAGTGAGGTGTGTAGAGATCCTTTCCTGTTCGTTCTTATCAATGCCTATGACTCGAAGGTCTCTCAGAAAAAAAAAAAAATTATAATAATGATAATTATGATAATAAAAGAGGCTTCTTCACGATTTGGGCGAAAATTTGATGAGTTAATCATCTGTAGTGCGTCACGGGCTTGTTTATACTTATTCAACCTCGATCTTATTTGGATTTTGTGCTTCTGCCAACTTAAATGTTTTTCTACCTTACCAGGCCATTATTGTGTGGTTTTCTACAGGCTGAGACTCGCTTTCGCAAATCCAAAATAGAAGCGTATCTAACTCACGATCAATTTGAAGATATGAATTAAAATTTAGAATAAAACATCTTGTAAATCTGCAAATACCTGTTTCTCCAGAGCAGGTACATTGTGGCGAACCAGCGTGAAACACACCAAACAACATCAGCAAGGTAAGCCCAAGAGAAAGTGCTGAGACAAAACATATAACCAACAGGGCCGCACGATACAATCTTTGACCTTGGCTGGCATCGCTCTTCTCGTCAGCAGTTTGCAGCAAACTACCACCATTACTCATATTCCCGTTTGAAACACTATTCAGTTGCTCTTGACCGTCAATGGTCGCTCCAGTTTCCTTTTTGCTAAGGAAGAGCCTATCTTCTGCTTCGGTAGGATGGTTTTCTTGAAGTTCTATTTTACAATTAGACGCAATAGGCGAGTTCGATCGTCGCCCAAGGAAAACGCTTCTGGTTAAAGAAGACATGAACCTCTCCAAAGTCGTTACTACAGGCGTGTTATTCTTAACCTTTCCTTTAGTGGAGCGAAATCGACAGTCAGTAAGATGTAGGCACCCGAAAAGAGAAACAGATGTGAAGAGAATGACAAGCTGCCACGTTATATGTAGTACTATTTCCTTAGTAATAGACTTGTACATACACATACTCTTCTCATTATCCTCCCTTAATGGTTTATTATCCTCAAAAGTAATGATCGAGAGATGCGCAGCTTAGCATGAGAGAGAATGTGCCAAATAATGGCGGAATTAACAGTTTTAGGAAAACTATTATTGATATTTTTTGCAGTTTTCAAGAATCAGTCAATTTTTCATTTTATTGTTCAACTCTTTGGAATTAAGAGGCTTAATTGGCTTATTTCATCTTCATTAAAAAAATAACATTTACTCAGGTGCTCTCAAGGTCACTGAAACGTTACCCGTTGTAGTCTACTTTGTACACAATAAACACAAAAGCAAACGATAACCTTCTCGTATTTCCTTTTTCCGTCAAAACAACTTTGATATCTGTCTTCTAGCCATGATTAAAGGACAAAGGACGTGAACATACTGATTCGATTAATCATTATCCTGTTCTTAATGATCGTAGAAAATCTGTCTAAATTTCTTTTTGGCACAGTTTTCATAAAACACATTTAAGGTCATCACTTTATGCCAATGCTATCGCAGGCATAAACCATGATCTTGGAAAAAGATGAGTTGGATCAAGTCGTCATAAAAAAATATATATATATATATTTCCGGTTGTTTACCTTCACATCAGAAAAACCACTTGTTCGACAGTTAGGACAAATGAGATGCATTCCAGAATAGAAATTTCCTAGGTATACGCGTATTTCTTGTACAGAGAAATTCTCAGAGATGGGAGTTCATAGGATGTGTGTTGGAAACGTTAAGGTCTAGTCGAGGGAGGGAATGGTCTTGAATTCTTGTAATTGAAATGTTGCAAGGAGTCAATTTGCTCGAGTACAGAACATGCTGTGAGGATTAATTAAATCTAACGTTCTGACAGGTCGTCAATTTACCTATCAATAGAGTGACATCAAACACAATAGGAGAAATTTAGACACAGTATATTTCGCAGTTACATAAGTTTAACGTTCGCGTTCCGACTTGCTATTATAATATTTAAGACCAATTTTCCACCGTTTCCAAGGAAAATATATTAAAGGAATTTTGTTTAGACTTTTCAAACCTAGTCTATAAATCGAATTGAATGAAAGTTAATTAGTCTGGAAATAGGTTTCAATTAAGCAAACGCGAGCTCCTAAGTGCCTTGAACTAGTTGAGTACGAATTCTATCGCAAAATATTTTGGAGATAGAGAAAGGACCATCCTTCTAAAAGTCCGTCAACTCCTTAAAATTTTCTAGTTAAAAGCTTCAACAAAGTGGCTGTTATTTACATCCCAAACGGATTTATGGATTATCGTCGTACAAGGTGAAGGTTTATTATCAATGTATATTTGATAATCCTTGATACATTATGAGATATTTAGACTTGCGTTTTTGAGATGAACTTATTTCATTTTATTCGTGATTAACATATATAGGCATGGTTCATACTAACCCAGTCCAAGAAATTTTAGGTTTGTAGCAAATGGAAATTTCAGGCGTGAGGAATTTGTGACGGAGATTGACTGAACTTAAGAGGAGTGAATTTTCAAATTGACACAGTTTCGTGGAGTCCCGTTGAAAAAGAGTCACAATTACACCAAACTGAAAGTTTCCCATGCGTATGAGACGCAATGGAACGACTGGCACGTATGCTGGCTGAACTGGATGAGAAATCTACAGGAGGAAGAATCATTTCTTTTGAAGCCCTTTAGTCGTAATTTTGGAAATATCTTTACCTGACCATTAAAGACAAAATTAAGATGACACTGTCGGAAATGAAAAAAGAACCTAATTGTCTTGTTTTATTTTATAAAATCTCCCGTTCTCTCACCGTTCTCTGTCTTTTCGCTCTGGTCTCTCTCATTTTAAATATATAATATGATCCTATTGTTCAATCATCTGTCACTTATCGCAAAAAATCAACCGGAAATCAATTAACTCTGAATAATCTCTCACAATACCTTATTTATGAAAAGAGAACCTAGTTGTCTTGTTATACTGTTAGCACATGTCTATTTTGAAATTAGCTTCAGTATCCTGTAATTTCTCTCTCTTCTCTGAATCAATTCTGCAAGCAGCAAATTCACTTCTCTCGCTTCTTTTCAACCACTCTGACTCTGATTGAATCTTGCTCGCTCTGAGTAACGGTAGTCAAATATTTCTCTCTAACTTTGATCGACTGAATGTGAACGCTATTGAACACGCGTACATACTGACTATGTGTAGGCATGAGTTGGCGCGCTGGCCAAGTGATCTTGAAAGATTTTAAAAACGTCGTGGTCAGAACAATAACCTAAACACCACAAAAATGTGACAAATAAACAACAAAGTATCTAAAGCTTCCGATTAAGCAATCAGTCGGTGACTGCTAAAACAAAAACAAGACCTTCAGTGGAGGTCCAACGCGAGGTCATCAGACAAACTGAGCACGTTCACTAATGGAAGTTAGAAAAGAAAGATACATTAAGGAAACTCAACGCCATGGCTAAAACCAAAAGACACTTTAGTGTTTGAATTAAAATCTTAATTAAAACTACTGCCAAATCAAAATCACTAAAATCACTCCAAACTCATCGACTACGTTACAACAATGCGTCTAGACTGATATAATCCAACTTCCTTTCTAGCGAATTTTGCTTCAACTCAATGTCCTAGCCCGGGTATTGGTAAAACACAAACAGTACGTTGGCAATTAAAAGTTAAGGGACGTTTATTCTTTATTTTGTCGGTTGAATTTAGGAGTTTTAATCGCGCGAATAATGTTTTTCATTACACTCCTCTTGTTAATCAGGAGAAATTTTTGTAGGAGATTGTTGGGTCCCAGTCTAACATTTTTCTTTTTCTTCTCATAACGAAACTGTTAAACAAAGGTATTGGGTTATCGATGGTAATGAATCTACTGACAGATATTTCAAGAATCTTACTCTAGACAAACAGCACGCGCACAAAACGTGGTTAGAAGTTGGACTTACTCTTTTATCTATTTCTCATGCTTTGAACCTATAATACATTTATGCTAGAATTGCTTATAGTAAAAGATTCCCCGTAAAAATTCCCAGGGAAATGAAATGATAGAGAATGGGAAACATTGTTTCCTTGTCTACCTTAGCTTGATTTGTTAGGTATTTCTTTTAGTTTTACTTCGATCTTCGCTACACTTTTTTTCCAGGTGTATTAGGACAAAAGAAAATTTCTTAGACACAAGAGTACCCATTTCCTAATTATTTTGTTGGGGCAGTTTATTGGAAAACCACTTGAAATTTCAGATAAACTCATGCGAAAGTTCACAGAGTGATTGCAAATAAAGCACGATAAGTAAAATTTTATTCCTCAACATCTGTGGACTAACTCTGGAATTGGTTACAAATGTCTATTACATTATTTGCGACCACTTAACACCACCGAAAGTCATTTCGACCCCTGACAATGACTAGCAACTACTATCTCCATATAACATCTTAACAACACAATAAAGACCCGAGAACAATGGAAATGATCACCAACTATAATAGCTCTTGATTGTTAAACTAATTCTCCTTGTCAGCACTTAAGAGTGTGCATACAGAAGTAAGGGTATAAAAGGTCAACTGAGCGCATTACAAAGCTGTCAATTGATCATATCGTAACGATTATGATAAATAGCTAAATTCTTCTTTGCTTCGCTTTTCCCTATAAAAATTCGCCAGTTCGTCATTTAAGTTAATAATAATATAGGGCACTTATGTGAAAATCAGTGTGTGCACACATTTGGGTTAAAAGATGAAACGAACATTGCACATGTTAAATATTTAATGGTGACATCTCATTTACATCTACATCTACATCTACCTACAAGTTGGTAAATTCTGTACAGACATCACACCAACCAACTCGCACGCAAAGTGAGAAGACTATATGAAGGCTTGAAACTGTATTAAGAACGATTGTGATCAAAATATTCCGCAATGGATGATCGTGGGAAAGCGATTGCGTGACGCTCAGTAACTTGTAAAATGACATTTTATTACCAGTCTGCAGCCTGCAGTCTGCATTTTGCACCCGGTCTGCAGTCTGCATTTTGGGCTGACCGGATCGGTATTGCTGTTTCTGTTGAGCCTCAAGTCCAGTTGGAGCTCGAAAAACAATTTTTAGTGGGACTGTCTTGGCCGCTATGATTGATGTGTGGGCTGTATGTTGAAGAGCTCCCGTAGAAAAAAAAAATGACAAAGCAATGATTACTTTATACCAACTGAAGACGAACGCAAATGGGTAGCTTACCAATGTGGCTGCGTCTGATGCTCTTCCGCGTGAAAAAAAAAAAATTTTGGGATAACTTTTTAAAGGAGCTTGGAAACCAGGCTCAGCTCAGAAGTCAAGCCTACTGAATTTGTGCCCAAGCCTCTCCCTGCTGGCGTGACCTCTTTGGCCACTTGTTCATGTCGTCACACTGAAGAATACAAGAAACATCGGCGTGTAGTAAACACAAGCTCAAACAGTAAAGGGAAAAACGTTTTGAGGCCGATAGATAGGTAAGTATTTTAGTGTTTTCCAACCTAACTTAAGTGTTTTGCTCTGTAATTTTAAAACGTACAGTAAATTGTCAAATTAATACTGACTTGAAAAGCCTTTAGCTAAAATTTAACTCTTTATTAATGAGCTTATACTTTCTAGATCTGATATCTCAGTGAGCGATAACAACAGAAATCATTTGCTTTTGTGGTATTAACTATATATATACCTAACTTGTTATAGTACGTTGTCATGAAATAATGCACTTTGCAATAATTAGTCTAAATACACAAAACTGTCATCGCCAGAAATCAAGGACATTTCGAGCCCGCTAACAATTATCAGCGGTATATCGTATTACACTGCGGAACAATAGAATATCGAGAGAATTCGATATGGCGGCGATCACGGCTCGATCTGCAAAGAAGAGTGTTTCGTACAATGACTTATATAGTTTGAGCACCGCAGATCTTCTATTTGATGAAAAGAAAAAGAAAAGAAGGCCTGCAAGTAAATCTTTGGGATTTTTCGAGGCAGAGCGATGACATGATGTCAGAATTTTGATTTGCTTTAATTTAATTTTCGCGCTAAGACTACTGAATTTGCATTCAATGCCTGGCATATTTTTATTCCGAAAAGGACCGAGAACTAATTTTTTTTCCCTGCAAGAACATAAACAAATATGGCCGACGATTCGAAGATCAGCGTTGCTCGTGTTTAACTATTTCAGTCATAGTTTTCAACATGGTGTCTCGTCACTTACTCAACATGGAAAAAAAGGGATATTCTAACGCGTTGGGAACTTTTTTGATGGGAGGAAATGGCAATTTTACAGGATATTTGGACGCTTCGAACTCTGTAGCAGTCAATTCGATCGAGAGCAGTTGACTTTATTGATGCACTTTCCTGTAATAGGCGAGTGTTTGGGATGGAGAACGACGGATTTTGAAGATCTGTATGGCGACCTAGGTCAATGATCAATGACAAAAGAACTGGCTCGGGAAGTAAGTGGTTTTTATTTATCGAGTCCCTGTGAGGTTTGATGAATAGCAGAATCAGTACTGAATATGTCTCGATCGAGAGCAGACGGGACCATGAGCTCCTGATTGTTATATTTTAGAAATTTTACAAATTTCCATACAGTTTCTTATATTATTTGGACGCCATTATGTACGAAATGCGCAAGCAAGGCCACTATCTTGTCCAATATTTCTGTCGATGTTAATGTCTTATTGTTCCCTGAGCTGCCTGCACATCTGGGGCAGCTGATAATACATTTTGGGAGTGGTAGGGATGCTTGCTTCATAATGGCTATGGCTGTACCTGTCCTTGAATTTTCCCTGTTGTTTGTAATAGATTTTCCATACATTTTTTATTATATTTTGGGAAATTTTAATCTGCAAGAAGAAAAATTCTTTACAGAAGAATCCTCTTCCTGTAACGTGTACAACTGTTGGTTAAGTTTGCAATATTACAACAGTTATAATATAAGAATAATTTTCTCTTGTGTGAGGCATCAGTCAATTTAGGAATTGCCAAGTGTAAAATTTCAAGCCAGAAACTGTTCATATTTTAGAGGGTAGGGCTAGGAGGGGTCAAAATTATTAGGTTTGCGTATCGTTTTCACTCTTTGAACCCCGAGCACTCATACGCGCACACTTAAGATGGATGCTCAACATAACAAGCGTCAAAAAATAATCGAGCAAATAACTAAGACGTGCAAAACTTTCAGGGATAATATAAATTTACCGCTAGAAACGGTGAAAAGGCCATATAGACTTAACTCGAGCTTCTTTAAAGGTAAACTTTCTATGACGTTTTAACAAGATTATCAATTTGTCAAATACCAGGAGCTGCTCCTGCAAATACGTATTTTAATATGATTGATTCCAATTGTTTCATAAAGTCAAAATAAGCTTAATGTCAAGAATAAATAGGCAGATTACAACAATTAAAACGAATTTGTGGTTCATTGAAAAAAGTACTTGGTTCGATTACGTGTTCAACGAAAGGTTAATGTTGTTTGCCTGCTGGGATTTTATGTCTTCTATACCAATGTCAATGTCACCGCTATTTTGACGTGCTAAAATAAAATTGGTTACAGTTTCAAGACCTGTTCACAATGAGGTGCACTTCTTGCGATTGTGTTGCAATCCAACGAGTCCTTCGGAAAAACATGTCACCGAGAGCAGAGCTTGTAAGACACTATTCAGAAAGCAAGTATTTCCTACGTTTGTTATTCCTTTCGATTCCATTTGACCGTAAGTAGTGTTTAGAATTAACGAAGAAAGCGTATTTTAGCCAAAGACAGAATATTCGCATATGAACGGAACGCAGCGAGGTAAGGTAATATTCTTTCACGCGAAAATTTAAAAAAAAAAAAAAAAAAGGATAATAGATAACTTCCCACTAGTTTTTTCCCGCGCAAGTGACAAAAATGTCCCCTTCCCTGTCCTCCTCCAATCGCACTACAACCAGTCGGGGAGGTGAGTGAAGAATTGCTAACATGTCATCAGAAAGCTTGATTACCTAATTGAGCCCGATGATTAAGCTCCTTCAGAAAGTGATCCCAAAAAAATTTCTGCCTTGCGCGTGATCACAGCGTGTGTAGAAATGAACCCGCTACGGGTCCCCCAGGTGTGAACGGCTTCTCGATTCAAGTTGCATTTTTAGAAGTTCGGAAATGGGATTTGAGGTTATTCTTTTTATTAAACCATACAAACATTTTATTTCTTTTCTCGTGAGTTTCTGAGCTTCATCGAAATTAATTCTGACTTTCACTAAGAGGGGAGGAGTAGCATTCGAGGCCACTTCCGTTCACGGTCCACAATGCAACTTCCGTCCACGGAATACAACTTCCGTCCACGGTCGACAACTTCCGTGAACATCTGCTTCACCATAAGACCTTACTCATTGCTTTCAGCATGAATGAGCTAATAAAGGCCGTGCGCTCGACTTCTGTTTTGAAGCAAGTGAAGCACATCTATCGAGGCTTACCGTAATTATTTTCTTATATCCAAAAAGAGTCACAAATATCTCAAAACTACATGATACTGATAGCATGTGTATCCTTGACCCAAATAAGTCATCGCAGCTCGGCATTAAATTGTGATTTCTCCTACACATTTCAACCGAGGCCATTCAAACTGCTATTGACGCTAAGGCTCGTTCTGTGGTATATCAATTGAACCGGGTCCCAAGAGCCACAGATGTCAGAGGCAAAAATGCGGGACTTAAATGTGGCGTCAGCGTAAATTTTAAGAAATCGGACCTTGATACCATGATTCATGGCGTCATGGTATAGGTAAACTTCTATGGCCCGGACTGATTGATTGCTTTTCTTTCTTTACTCGCGTTGAACCTGTTATACATAAATATAAATAAAAATAAAAATAAAAAACATTTATTTTTCTGTTGGTACATGATTTCTGTACCTGAATTACAGCCAAATAATAGTAACTAACGTTCACGAAGTTAGAATGTTGTACAGAAGGACTAGGTCGAATGCATAAAATTGCGGCCGATGGGATAATAATTACAATTACGGGATAATGATTGCAATTTTAACTTTGTTGATGTCCTGAACGCCTTTGAACAAACGATTTATAGATTTGCGTATTACAACAATTGTGCATATTTGAAAAAATTAATAGCTATGCATGCATAAACGTCAGCGTTTATAATAATATGGCCAATTTGTAAAACAGTGTAACATACAGGTCAGTTCAAAATCTGTTTTTCCGTGGCCTCTGATTTTACAACCCCATCATCTTCGATACAAAGAATCATGTTAAGCGAAGTTTTACGTTTTTTACGTTTACTTCTTAGAACTAACACTCCCAGTAGTATATTTAGCAATGTAGCGTTGATTCTCTTTTTGCCAATATTTGCAACATACATGAATGCGACAAGCATAACATGTCCCCCACCGTCACTTGGCAAATTCGGAAAAGGCAACGCACCAACAACACAAAATATGACATGGCGGGCAATTGATTGGTAAACTTATTTAAAACAGCAAAATGCTCTTCGTCTCGCTTCTGGTTCAGCATTTTATTAACTCCTCAAGAGAGAATCCTGCTTAACAAATGGCATGGTCAATCGAACCGCACCCCTGAAAATTAGATATTTGTTCGAAATGAGGACGAGAAGGGCTAGTAATCCTTTAGGTAATGTGCCACGAATACTAATCATTTGCTAGAATAAAGGTTTCGTTTGATCGGGCAGAGGACTGGGAAAACCATTCCAAAACCCTCTCTGGTAAATCACTGTGCCCCGACAGCTTTATGGCGAAGAATGCATTTCGCTGTGGCCCAATTTTGGACGGTTTTCTTCTACTCATAATGAAACCGTAAAGCAAAGGTACCAGAATAAGGAAAGCACTGAATCTGCTTACCTGTGTTACGAGATTTTCATTTGAAGTAAATGGAACTAGTCTAATCTAGAGGTAAAAGTTGCTGTTAACCTTCATCTATATCTTCCCGGTTTGATCCTGTCATATAACAATCAATTTTTTTTTATTTTTTTTATTTCAGTACAAAATCTATTTCTCTCAGTTACAGATAGACAGAACACACACTCTCTTGGAATCAACCCTAGAGAGGAATATATAAAAACTGCGGCTAAGCGGTTGAGGTCGCAAAAAAAAACATTCTGGCAAAATTAAATTATTTTTACTGTTCGTGGAAAATTCATCGGCTCGTCTCGTAAAATGTTGGATTCTAATAAAGCTTAAGAAAAGATCATGAATAAACGTTAATTGAATGAAATAAGATGACCGCACTTCTAACTCTGTTACTTTCCATGATGCCAAAAGACTAAGTCTGAAATAAGCCATCGATATCCATAACAATATGATTTGGTGAAATCATTATTTGCCTTTTTCTGTTACTAGACACATTTGAAAACAATTAGGGCAGTTGTTAATATTGCAGCACTCATTTTAAACTACCTAAATTGCTCTTCATCTTGTTTCTGATAAAACAGTCTATTATTGTCTTTAAAATGGCCCTGTTTCGAAGAATGGCTTAAAGTTTTCCTATTTAGGACTGACACTCCCAGTAGTGCATGTAGCAATACAGATCTGACACCCCTATTGAAAGGGTACCTTCGCAAAAGCACTTGTAGGTTCTCTTGCCACCTGACTTGGTGCTTGATAATTTAACAAATTTTGCGTCATTTGTATCACAGTTTACACCAATGAAGGTAGTATTCTGCTAAAAAAAAAAGAAATGATAATGACTACAATGATGATATTAATGATAATTATAAATGGCGTCAAGAGTTCGAATGTGACAAGCTAAAACATTTCCTGTATGCAAATAGGCTAAAGTACATATAGCATTATTTATGTTGTGAGAAAGCCGACGGCAAAAGCTCGCCAAAGAGGTGGCGTTCTAATTTTTTGCCTTGCGAAACTAAACGCTGAAACGATTTCGAAATTGTCAAATAGAGCAATGGCAATTAAATATTATTGAATTTGTCGGTGCAAGAAGTGACTGTAGAACATTATTTTCTAGAAAGCCGAGTCAGTCTAGTCACGGCGAGTTTGTGTGTCAAAGGTAAGCTGAAGTATAGTCTGCAGTGCGCTTAAGATCGTTTTTAGACGATGATTATTGTTAGCGTTGCTTTTCAGAGTCGCTTCTGCGTAGGAATTAACTCAGGACGTGTTGTTTAATAAAATAGTTGTATTTCTGAAAGTTAAGTTTATTTAAATTATACTGTAACAGTGGAGAAAATTTAGAAAATTTTCTCCATGTTATTTTCTTAAGTTCAATCTTTGAAAGTTTGAAGGATTCTTTAGTTCTTTTCATGAATTTTAAAGAACTTCTACCAGTACCGTTCGTAATAAAATTCAAACCAAAATGATTTATTCTTTCTTCTGTACCCAATATAGGGTTCATCTCTAAACTTACGTTTGGTTCCTTCATTTTCACTTCTTGCCTAGCGGCCGAACCTGGTGACATACCCGGGCTGCTTGCAATCTTGTAAACACAGGAACTGACTCCAGGTCCAGGTAGTCCCTGGGTACCATTGTAACCGGATGGTCCACGAGGGCCCTGAGTACCATTATATCCTGGAGGTCCGGCAGGTCCAGCAGGTCCGGCAGGTCCAATATCACCCTTAGTGCTATTGAATTCCAGTGGGCATGTGATCTACGAAAAACAAGATTTTCTGTTTTGACAAGAAGAACGAAATCACCACTTCCTCTTCCAAGAAGAGGAAGCGATGATTTCACTGATACCAAAGAGACAAGAACTGTTATTAAACCAAACAGCTGTAATGATTGGGTTGTAATTCTCAGACCAAACACGCGAATAGCTGCATTCTGATATCGCTGTCCATAACTCTAAGAAACAGAGATATACAAGGAGATGAATATACAGAAAAAAAAAACTTGCCTTTGTAACGTTTTTCTCCAGATTCCCTAAACCTTTTGAAACCTGTCACAATAATGAATAAAAAGGTTTACATGAAGAGACTGTGTCGTAATAAGATAACACAATTTGTGTCGCAATAAGATTGCACTATTTAATTCAAGTGAGTTTAATTTGGCGTGTACACGTACTACAAGAAATGTAAGAAATTCAGGAAGTGGATCTTGCCTATGTGTAATCTTTCTTTCTTTAGTATAAGACTATATTGAAAACACTGAGGGAAAAACTCACCTCGGTAAAGTTATTCTCCAGATTCTCTAAACCTTTTGAAACCTGTCACAATAATGAATAAATATTGCATAAAGAGACTGTGTCGTCATAAGATTGCACTATTTGATTGTATCGTAATAAGATTGCACTATTTGATTGTATCGTAATAAGATTGCACTATTTGATTGTATCGTAATAAGATTGCACTATTTGATTCAAGTGAGATAAATTTGGCGTGTACACGTCCTACAAGAAATGAAACAAATTCCAGAAATAATTTTTTTTGATTTGAAGTCGTTCTTCTTTCTGTCTAGACTATATTGAAAACACTGAAGGAAAATCTCACCTCGGTAAAGTTATTCTCCAGATTCTCTAAACCTTTTGAAACCTGTCAGAATAACAATTGAAAAGGTTTACATAAAGAGATTGTGTCGTAATGAGATTACACTATTTGATTCAATTGAGTTTAATTTGGCGTGTACACGTACTACAAGAACGGTCAGAAATTCAAGAAATGGATCTTTGTTGATGTGTAATCTTTCTTTCCTTACTATAAGACAATATTGAAAACACTGAAGGAAAAACTCACCTCAGTAAAGTTATTCTCCAGATTCTCTAAACCTTTTGAAACCTGTCACAATAATAAATAAATATATTGCATGAACAGACTGTGTCGTTATAAGATTGCACTATTTGATTCAAGTGAGATAAATTTGGCGTGTACACGTCCTACAAGAAATAAGAAGAAGTTCAAGAAATGGATCTTTGTTGATATGTAATCTTTCTTTCTTTACTATAAGACTACATTGAAAACACTGAAGGAAAATCTCACCTCGGTAAAGTTATTCTCCAGATTCTCTAAGCCTTTTGAAACCTGTCAGAATAATAATTGAAAAGGTTTACAAAAAGAGACTGTACATGTGTCGTAATAAGATTATACACTATTTGATTCAAGTGAGTTTAATTTGGCGTAAATTAAGTAAATTTCGGTAAATTAGAAAAATGTGAGTTATTGAATTATCTTATAACTCTTGCAAAATTGCATATATGGCAAAGTCGAAAACAAAATAAAATTCCAGAATGTGAAGTTTTCTTAAAACAAGTAGACGTCAAATATAGAACTGAGAAATACATTGCTGTTAAAAAAAATACGCAGCTAAGTGGTTATTATATAGATGGCACTTATTTGTAATAAATAATAGTTTACAAATATAATTATAGAATTGTTTCAAAATATAAATGTAATTTATAATTAATAATAGCTTACAAATGTAAATAGAGTATACTGAGAGTCTTGTAAACACTTTTTTTATTTTCAAAATGGCAATAAAAAATGTGGAAAAAAAAAAAAGAGTTTAATTTGGCGTGTACACGTACTACAAGAACGGTCAAAAATTTAAGAAATGGATCTTTGTTGATGCGTAATCTTTCTTTCTTTACCATGACTATATTGAAAACACTGACGGAAAAACTCACCTCGGTAATGTTATTCTCCAGATTCTCTAAACCTTTTGAAACCTGTCACAATAATGAATAAAAAAAGTTTACACAAAGAGACTGTGTCGTAATAAGATAACACTCTTTGATTGTGTCGAAATAAGATTGCACTATTTGATTCAAGTGAGTTAAATTTAGCATGTACACTTACTACAAGAAATATAAGAAATTCGAGAACTAGATTTGCTTTGATGTGTAATCTTTCACATGAGAAACGGAAAAATTGAATACAAGGAATACAAAAAGTTAGTAATACATATAAGAATGACTAAATATACTAAATGTTTAAGAACTGATGCAAATAAGGGCTCTAGGATCGATGAATAAGGAATTCAATTAATAAATATCAAGGAAGATAATTAAAAAATATGTTTGTTGAATTGCCAAGGATATTCAGAGTAAACTTACTTTGTTTTTAACATTCAGGAACTCCTTTTTAATCTGCAATGAAAAAGTAGAATCAAATTTGAACAATATACGCTTTTTAACTGTTTTGTTATTCGAATGCCAAGCACACAAATACTTTCTTTTCTAATAACGCTACCCCCAGCCCCCCCCCTTACTCAAAAAAAAAAAAAAAAACCAGAAGTTCACGACTATAAACAAACACTGAAAGAAAAAACTCACCTCAGCAATGTTATTCTCTAGAATCCTCTTTGAAACCTGACGTAACAACGAATAGAAATAGGTTCCTGACTAAAGTTTAAAGGAAAGTATTCGTTTTCAATATAAAATATATCATGAGACGGAAAGAGATGAAACGAAAGCGAAAACATGAAATGCGAGGAATTAAACAAGAGTCGAGCAGAGAAATTTTATGCACCTTCTACCCTTCAAAAAACCGAAAAAAAATTGGATGGACGCGAGCAGAAAAAAGGGACACATTTTACAACAGTCAACTTACTAGGCAGTTTTCTTGAGCTATTTATCTTTGAGCCCACGGAACCCAACTACAACTGAAATGGCATGATAAGAATCATGGTTGATATCATATGGCGGGTTGTATTGATTATAGAAAATCTAAATTCCCACTACTTGAGGTTTTTTTTCAGTTTCCAGCAGTAGTGGATGTATCTCGTGATGCGATTTCTATCACTGAATTTTCTTCCCTAATTAATAGCGAATAATTTTGACTTACCGGTTCTCTCAAAGCCGTGAGGTTCCTTTTCAGCTCTTGTTGATTCTTCTTAAGTTCTGATATTTCTGCATGAATAGATGAAAGAAAAACATTAATAAATGAGTGGATGCATAAATACACGATGGCTGGAGATTTAAATAATGATAATAATAATAATAATAATAATAATAATAATAATAATAAAGTCTTTTCAATTGGATTTGTGTGGGTAAAGCCTGCTTCCGTACTTTTTTACAGTTTTAATCAACAAATTACGGCGTCTGAAAATATATCTCCTCAAAGGAGAGAAGTCCTTATCGGTGGAAATGGAATTGTTTTTACGTATACCGAGCCGTTGCTCTTCGGAAGAATAAAATACACCACGAGAAACATATATCTAATGCATGTCGTGGCAGTTCAAATACATATAAAGGTATTTGAACTGCCACTCTACTCCTGGGACTCCTGGGAGGATATGATCAGGAACAGTAAGATCACGGGAGCTCGGGCAGAAACTGTGGACATATTTCCTGTAGTGCATTTGTACCTATTCATCGTCTCAGAAGACAAGGTTTAATTAAGAAATGATTTTCAACGCTGATTCATTCTCGTCGATCACAATAAATAAGCAACTTAAGTGTTAAATCACTTCAGTGATGTGATTTTTTTGGATCTCGACACAATGTTTGCCCTGTGGCGATCGCAGAAATCCTTGTGCAAACACTAGGATCGATTACTGGCAACTCACTTATTAGGATATAGAAATTAAAACCTGGATGTTCCAAAACATTTTAAGATCCAAGGATTTTTTTGAAAATAATTACTATGTAAAAATAGGCTTCGTTGGTTTTTCAAATTTGATTACCACGAAAAATTTAGGGTATTCAATATTTTCGGCTTTTCCGGATTATGTTTACCGCTTACTCCCCTAATGCTCTAATGCGGTGTTTGAACATTTTTCACATCTTTCGATTCTCAATAGTTATAAAACGATGAAACAATGCGGTCGATTTTTCATTTAGAAAGTAGCGCAACAGAAAAATTCTTTAATAAACCCAGGGCATAAGTCCTTGGGGTCTTTTCGTCTCAAGGAAAAACTGTAGATAAGCCACAAAAAGACCCTTTTTTTTCTATAGGTTAAATGTTTCAGTCTGAACGGGTAACAGTGAATGTAATTTCGCTATTATGATTGACCCTGGAGGTCAAGAATCGACCCGCAGGGAGAAGGATGATCTTAAATCAAATTGGTGAGACTTTCCTGATCATCTTATACGTTAATGACTTTTACATGCTTTCAATAACATCGGGGAGTTTTTTTCGAGACTTAAATTGAATCCAAGAAAAACAAAAAAACGAACCCCCCCCCAAAAAAAGAACCCTATTCATCGCACACATTTCAAAGCCCGGGAAGAGGGGATGATTTTTGTGAATAAAGATAATATCGCTGTCAATAAAGGTATTCATGATTCTCGCGAGGCGTGCTAAGATGCATCTTTGTGCCTAGTTATGTATATAGGTATCGCACCTAGGGCTGCGGAGCAAGTTTAACAATTGTTGTTCAATGCTGTTTTGATGCACTACGCTAGGTTACTTAAGTCACGTCTGAAGATAGAAGTGTGTTGGTGTACCGTTATAAACAAACACAAAAAAAAACGCCTTTGAAGGCAATTATCAGGGAAGGGTCTAGAGATCCTTTCCTGTTTGTTCTTATCAATGACTCGAAGGTCTCTAACAATAATAATAATAATAGTAATTAAAAATAATAGTAATGATAATGATAATAAAAGAGGCTTCTTCACGATTTGGGCGTAAATTTGATGAGCTAATCATCTGCAGTGCGTCACAGGCTTGTCCGTACTTTTTCAACCTCGATCTTCTTTGGATTTCTTGCTCTTGCCAACTTTTACGTTTGTCTACCTTACCAGGCGAAGTATGTGTGGTTTTCCATAGGCTGAAACTCGCTTTCGCAACGAAAATTGATCCAAAATAGAAGCGCATCTAACGCACGATAAATTTGAAGATATGAATTAAAATTTAGAATCAAAAATCTTGTAAATCTGCAAATACCTGTTTCTCCAGAGCAGGAACATTGCGGTGAACCAACGTGAAGTACACCAAACAACATCAGCAAGGTGAGCGCAAGAGAAACTACTGAGAGAAAACATATAGCCAGCAGGGCCACATGATACAATCTCGGACCTTGGCTGGCATCGCTCTTCTCGTCAGCAGTTTGCAGCAAACCACTACCATTGCCCATATTCCCGTTTGAAATAGCATTCAGTTGCTCTTGACCGTCAGTGGTCGCTTCAGTTTCCTTTTGGGTAAGGAAGAGCTTATCTTCTGCTTCGGTAAGATGGTTTTCTTGAAGTTCTGTTTCACAATTAGACGCCATAGGCGAGTTCGATCGTTGCCCAGGGGAAACGCTTCTGTTTAAAAAAGACATGTTCCTCTCCGGAGTCGTTACTATAGGCGTGTTATTCTTTGCCTTTCCTTTAAAGGTGCAAAATCAAAAGTCAGTAATATTAGGCACCCGAAAAGAGGAATAGATCTGAAGAGAATGACAAACTGCCACGTTATATGTTGTACTATTTCCTTAGTAACGGACTTGTACAAACACATACTGGTCTCATTTTCCTCTCTAAATGGTTTATTACTCTCAAAAGTAATTATCGAGAAATGCGCAGCTTAGCATGAGAGAATGTGCCAGATAATGATGGAATTAACAGTTTCAGCTCAACTATTACTGATATTTCAGGGAGGAATCTGCGTCCAGAAGAACAAAAAATTGAAAATAGAATTAAGAACTTTGTGCATACGAGTTTAGACAATATGATCAGCATTGAATGATATCTGATGATCAGCCAACTTTTTTGCAGTTTTCAAAAATCAATCAATTCTTCATTCTATTGTTCAACTCTTAATTAAGAAATTAAGAAGGCTGATTGGCTTATTTCATCTTCATTAAAAAAAGAACAAAAGATTTCCTCAGGTGCTCCCAAGGTCAATGAAACGTTACCCGTTGCAGTTTACGTTGTTCGCAATAAAGAGAAAAGCAAACGATAACCTTCTCGTATTTCCTGTTTCCGTCTAAAACAAAAGCAAAATACGAGCCTGCTGATAATAAACAAATGTTTGATATCTGTCTTCCGCACATAATTACGGGACAAAGGACGTGAACATACTGATTCGATTAATCATTATCCTGTTCTTAATGATCGTAGGAAAACCGTTTAAACTTGTTTTTGGAACAGTTTTCATAAAAACGCATTTAAGATCATCAGTTTATGCCAATGCTATCTAACGCATGAACCCTGATCTTGTAAAATTAAACAAAGGCAAAAAAGGATGAGTTGGACCAAGTCGTCATAAGTAGGAAAATATTTCCGTTGTTTACCGTCCCATCAGAAAAACCGATTGTTCGACAGTTAAGATGAATGAGATGCATTCCCGAGTAGGAATTTCCTTGGTACACGCCTATTTCTTTTATACAAAAATTCTCAGGGAAGGGATTCATGGGATGTGAGTCGGAAAAGTTAGGATATAAGTGGGAGGGAATGGTCTTGAATTCTTCTCTTTAAAATGTTGCGATAATCGACCATCTCTCTCCAACTGACTCAGTCGAGTCGACTGACTGTGAACTGTATAGAACACGCTCATCTATATACTCACTATCGGTAGGCATGAGTTGGCACGCAGCAGGCCAACTGACCTTGAAAGATTTTAAAAACATTGTGGTCAGAACAATAACCGAAAAACCTTCGCAAGAATGTGACAAATAAAAACAACGTATCTAAAACTTCCGATCAAGCAATCAGTCGTGGACTGCCAAAACAAAAACATGACCTTCAACGCGAGGTCATTAGACAATCTGAGCACGTCCGCCGATGGAAGTTAGTAAAGAGAGATACATTAAGGAAACTCAACGCCATGGCTAAAACGAAAAGACACTTTGGTCTGTGAATTCAAATCTTGATTGAAACTACTGCTAAATCAAAATCCCTAAAATCATACCAAACTCATTGACTACCTCACAACAATTAATGCATCTAGACTGATATGATCCGACTTCTGTTCTAGCGAATTTTGCTTCAACTCAATGTCCTAACACGGGTATTGGTAAAACACAAACAGTACGTTGGCAATTAAAAGTTAAGGGGCGTTTCCCTTTACTCTTTAGGTTGAATTTAGGAATTTCAATCGCACGAAGAATGTTTTTCATTACACTCCTCTTGTTCATCAGGAAAAATGTTGGTAGGAGATTGTGGGGGCCCAGTATAACTCTGTTTTTTCCTCTCATAACGAAACTCTTAACAAAGGTAGTGCGTTATCGATGGTACTGAATCTACTGACAGATATTTCGGAAATCTTACCCTAGACATACAGCACGCGCAGAAAGCGTGGTTAGAAGTTGGACTTACTCTTTTATCTATTTCTCATGCCTTGAACCTATAATACATGTATGGTAGAATCGCTAATAGTAAAAGACTCCCATAAAAATTCCCAGGGAAATTAAATGATAGAGAATGGGAAACAATGTTTCCTTGTCTACCTTAGCTTGATTTGTTGGATATTTATTTAATTTTTGCTTTCGATCTTAAAGTACTTTTTTTTTCTCAGGTGTATTGGGACAAAAATAGAATTCTTAGACACAAGAGTACCCATTTCCTAATTATTTTACTGGGACAGTTTATTGGAAAACCACTCGAAATTTCAGACAAACTCATGTCAAAGCTAACAAAATGATTGCAAATAAAGTATGATGAGTTCAATCTTATTTCCTCAACATCTGTGGATTAACTCTGGAATTGGCTGAAAAATGTTTATTACATTATTTGCGACTAAACACCACCGTTAGTCCTTTCGACCCTTGAAAATGACGCATCTAATATCTCTATATAATTTCTCAATCACACAATAAAGACCCAGAACAAAGGAAATGATCACCAATTATAATAGCTCTTGATTGTTAAACTAATTCTCCTTGTCAGCACCTTACAGTGTGCTTTCGTCCACAGCGTTGACATGGTTGAATAACAATAATGATAACTATATTGGTGCATTGATAATGATTATGATGTTGATTGATGATAATAAGCATAACGATGTTAATGAAGATGATAATAACGATGATGAGAATAATGACGACTACGACTAATTATAAAATTAGGAAGATAAGGAATATAATAGTCACAATCTATTGGTTACCAAGTATAATACTAAGGCCGTGACAAAATACTTGTTCTGTCCTGCAATGCTTCTATTCACTCTGTGCAAACCAATTCAGCAAGAATGGCTTTTAAGAAATTAGAAACAGTAAAAGTAGGCTAAAAACAAATTTTTTTTTATCAGATTTGAAACAAAAACAAAAAAAAAGTTTAAAAAACCCAACAACTACTTTATTTTCTCTTTTATTCTTCAATTTGAAGAATAAAAGAGAAAATAAAAATTTAATTTTACGAAATGTTGCTTTGCCAAGAAAACGACTGATCTGCGATTGTTACACCGAAAACTGTTGCTTTAAATCAATGTTTAGATCGATCGAGGCATATTGTAAGATATATAGTTATCCTTAAACGCATGATTGTCAAAGTTTTCTATGAGCTAGCAAACACTCGAATACTAAGGAAGTCGTTTCAAGTGCGTACATATTTATTTTCCATGATTTGTAAAAGGAAATTGCATGAAGCCCGATAGACGACGTTTAACGCGCACCTTCACATGCAGTTGATCGGCAGGGCAGAATTTTGATTTAGCACGCACAAAATTTTCATTGTAGAAAGTTTTGTCGCCACGTTAAAAAACTGGAATCACGAAAATAAATTAGGTGGGGAGAGGATCAGTTTCCGGGGCCCAAGTGCGTCATGCAGGGATATAGGTCTAACACTTTGCCCTGAAATTTATTTCCCGAAAGAAGGGGGAAATCACAAGTGTAGAGGTCTAACCGAAAGTCAGGTAAATTGTACTTCAAAGAAAATGCAAATTGTATCCAATAAATAACATCCTTGAACTTATAACAAGTAATTTCAGGATTTCCAGTCATAAATTGATAACTTCGAGTTTCCACTTATCATATGTCGAAGCATTGCTTCGAACCATCATCATCGCTGATGCTAAGACCAAGGTGGCAGCGGCCTTTAGGAGGGAGGCTACAGAAATGACAGACACAGCAACGAAAAGACGGCGAAATTTCAGCGTGTGCGAATTTTTAAAAGACGGCTGTGCTCTCGCCTCAGGATCTGCCTGGGGAGTTTGACATATAACAATGACGTCATAGGTTTCAGCTTCATATCCTGTTTTCCATCTCAAAGTACAGATTTTCCTGTCCAGTTTGACTCCTGTTACTCGTAGTGTAAGGAATGGTACGTATTTTAGGATTGTTCGCTTGAATTTCACAAATCTTAAAACCTCGTGATCTCGCGACAGCCGGAAAATTTGATGTGATATGGTCAGGTAATTATAGCTTCTATTTCCTGACTGTGAGGAAATACTGAAACGTGTTACTTTGAAAGTAAGTCAATTATTGTCAATATTTGTTTCGACTTAAGATTTTCGCAATCTATTTTGAGAAAGATTTTTCCAGATCACAGGGTTGTATACAAACATTTTGTTGCTATTATCCACTTTCCGCTCCGCTGGATAATGCTTGAAAAGGTGGCTTTCATCTCTACATCACTTGACTTACCAGAATTATGCAGACAAACAAACGCCAAGGAGCCCTATTGGTTGTATGTTGTTTGTCATGGCCAGTTGAACTTAGCTGGTTTGTCGATCCGTGGACAAAACGGGGATAATATCAAACCATTTTATTCTTACCGCAGAAAGTAGTGGAACGGTTTCTGTTGATCTTTTTTGCAACTCTGCGAGACGAGTGCATGTAATCGTAGCCTAATTTGTGACTATTTGCATTTTTTTTAATCCTTTATACTATATCTTGAATCCTTAAGCCACACGTCCGAGCTTATTTTTGGACACAGCTCAGCAAGACGGGTCATATGAATAAAATGGAAGCATATGGGAAAATCAAATAATAATGATAAAAAGGAAAAGAAAGCTTTTTGTCATGCGCTCCGTATAATTCCTCTTCGTTCTTATGAAAATATTTTTTCTAGTAGTATCCACTCCGCGAATCTTTCTTTGTTTCTTCGATACATATTTTTTTTCAATGGTGCGAGGTAGGAGGTCAAATAACGCATTTTAATGAGATTTGTCTCCTCACACTACCGGTTGTTTGTTTGATTGATTTAAAGGGCGCCTCTGGCATGTTCACACAAGGACAGTCTTGTTCACGATGAAATCTCCGCCAAGAAAACTGATTAAATTCTATCCCTTTCCCATTAGATGTCTCAAAGACACCTCGTGAAAGGTAGCGACCGATGATATAACATATTTACTTCAATCTCATCTACAATTTCCACGTGACTGTTAAAGGCAATGTCTCGTATTACAAGTTGTTCTGAAATAATTTCATGAACTACACTTTGACCAACTTTAGCCGCCGGTTTTAGCTGAAACGAAGACTCCAGAAAACAAAGACCTAAAATGTAAGACCCGAAAAGGAAGACCCGGAAACGAAGACCCCTTTATTTCTCTATTTAACATGATTGTATCGAAGGCTACTTTTGGTTTTTTGCGTGACTTTCATACCCTTTTGTTTTTTGTGGCATGCAGTCGGCCACGAGACGCGTGTTTTACAAGTATGGTCAGAAGAAGAGAAAGATTGAAGGATTGGCGAAGTATTAGAGGGATAGAACGGGGAAAGAGGTATGTTCATCTTGTTTATCTTTGTATTTATATACCGAAACGTGTACAATGAAACGTGTAGTTTTGTTAGGCTTAGTACATTTGTGTTATTTTGATTTATCTGCATATACGCCCCGCGTGTTCGAGTTTAGGACATTTTGATACGTGTATATTGTATGGTAAAGGCTTTTTTAAATTTATTGTATTTCAGTTTTTACGAGCTTTCAAGTTTAATAAACGAACTGAGATTCGATAGATGCTTGGAGGTTCCGTCAATATAAAACATCTCTCCGACGCGACGTTGTTAGATTCGATTGATGTCAGTGTCCGCCCCATTGCAATGGTATATTGTTATGGTTTCAGCACCGGTTTTAATCTTTCTGAGAGCGATGAAGTATGCCATGAAACACCGGTTTTAAATAAAAATACCGCAAAAAAGAAGACCCGAAAACCAAAACGAGGACACCTTATTTTCTTTATCAATAATGATACATAAAGGACGTTATCAAACGCGAACTAAGTGCCTATAAGAACCCTGTTTATTTATTGGATTCTTCCCAATGCCCACTAACTTTGTGGTCAGCACAGGTTAGTTTAAAATGCTAGATTGACAGCCTTCGATCGATCCACTGACGTCAAAGTGCGCTATAATTAGTTTTTTTTTCTTCCTTTGGTTGCCGTCTGCGTCTCAAACACCTTTCTACTTAACGTAATTTATTTTTAACAACTGAGTTGAAAACGTAAATTAGCCAACGTAAAGGGTAAAAAAGCTGACGTTTCGAGCGTTAGCCCTTCGTCAGAGCGATAGATCGAAGGGCTAACGCTCGAAACGTCAGGTTTTTTATCCTTTACGGTGGCTAATTTACGTTTTCAACTCAGTTAACACTAAATTACCTGCTATACTCTCCCACCGACGCAGCACCACAGTTTCTCTACAAACTTACCCCTTTATACTTTTCTACTTAAGTTATCTATTCTTTCCGCAACCCAGAAGTGTTAACACTAGGGAGGAGATGAACAAGGGGGTTTTAAAACGTTTGTAAATAACGGTACAACTTTGAAATTATCTTCCACTGTAAAAAGGCTGAAGAGCAACGCCGTGACATCTACTGGCGTCAGTGGGGTCGAAAGTTCACATCGGCAATTTTAGATAAGGACGTCAGGGTGGGCGGCTAGAAATTTCGAAGGGTACTAGTGTTTTCGAAAATAAAATAATTAAGGAAAGCAAGAAATAGGAAAATTTAACGAAATAAAGCGATTCCGGTTTAGCGCTTAATGTAATTGTAGGCGATTTTTGTTTAATTTTTTCTTTTTTGTTAATTAACTGATAAATGATCACGTTGCGAGCAAAGAAATTGCCAAGCTTTTAACTGTTTTCATTGGTGAAGCCATGAAGCGTGACGCGTACTTCCTGTATCAAGATCGTGAAGGGGTTTTCGCTTTCGGGTCTTCGTTTTGGAGTATTAGATCTTACGTCTTTGTTTTTATGGGTCTTCGTTTTTGCTACAACTTTAGCCGCCGGCTGTTTGTTTGCTTGATTTGAAGGGCGCCCTCGTGCTTGTCTCACACAAGGGCAGTTTTGTTCACGATGAAATCTTCGCAAAAAATATGATCAGATACGATCCATTTCCGGTTAGTTGTCAAAAAGACAGCCCGTGGAAGGTAGCGACTGATGAAAGAACATATTTACTTGAATCCCATCTGAAATTTCCTGGGATGAATTTCCTCAGAGTCCTTGTCGATACTTTTTCAACTAAACCGAAAGCCCGTATAAGTTTTCATCAGACATCTCACTCGACAGTCCTTTGTCATAGAGCCGATAGACTGTTCTAACGAAGGAGATATGATCATCCATGGGCTGAAACGAAAAATAGAGGGAAAAAGATAACTGGCAGAAGCCATGACGCCATGACCGCTTAGGACAACAAGTCACAAAATAACGGCCATTCACTCGGACTAAACCAATGTGCGCTCGACTTCTGTTTTGATGCATGTGAAGCATATTTACCGTCACTTACCGTAATTTTTTTCCTTTTTTTTTCCAATGAGAAAACGTACTTCAAATTTACATGATATCAATAGCATGTGCGTCCTGAACCCAAAAAATTTCTGGTTTGATTTCTCCCACACATTTTAACCGACGCCATTCAAACTGCTATTGCCGTCGACGCGAGGTTCTTTCTGTGCTATTGATATCAACTGAACTAGGTACTAAGAGCCATAAATAGCAGAGACAAAAAATCGGACCGTGACGCCATGTTTCAAGACGTCATGATATAGACAAAACTTCTATGGCCCGGACTGATTGATTACTTTTCTGTCTCTAGATGCGTTGAACCTGTTATTCATGAAAACAATTAAAAGTACTGATTTATTTCCTGTCGGGTACATGCTTCTTGAAATAGCAGCGAAACACTAGCAACTAAGTTCACTAAGTAAGAAAGTTTTTCAAAAGGACTAGGTCGAATACATAAAATCGCTTATGAACTAACGCTTAAATTGGCGAAGAATATCAATCGCAAAAATGATTTAGGCTAACAACAATTGTGCACATTTGAAAAAAATTAATAGCTATGTATGCATAAACATCAGCGTTTATAATAACACAGTGTAACATACAGGTCAGTCGAAGTATACATGGGTGATTTGCTGGCTTCACCCAACTTCCATCATCTGGGTTAGCTGGATTTTGTGTTGACATTAGATAATCTACATAATTACAAATAATGGTTTCAGCTTCTTTGCCCTTATTAACTTCTTCTATCTTCTCTAACAATAGTTCTGGAGAAAAGTTGCCATCATTTACAGACTGATTTGCAATATGACCTTTAAGTGCTGTTTGAGACAGCTCACATAAGCCAGGGTCACTTTCAAGTTTTGCTACTCCATGGCAGTGAATAGATCCTCTCTGTACAGCAAATTCATACCTAAACCAATGCCATGTTGCACCTAGTGTATTTTTGAGCCAATGTTTTACAAATTGTTCAGTTCTTTCAGTGAAAAACCAGTCAATCAAATGAGGGTTATTTATGACATTATCTCGCCTCTGAGAATCTGTCAGTTCACTGCTATTGTTAAAGAGTTCATGAAATTCTGGCCAATGAAATTCAGCACAAGACAAAGTCCAAAAAATGGTGGGAGCGCCAACTTGTGTTATTATAGCTTTCAAATCATCTTTTGCCCGATCCCAGTATGCATTTGTGCCAGAAATATTCTTAACATAGTGCATGAGTTTAGATATAAGTGATTCATAGGAGTTAGACAAAATCATTTGCTTTAAGTCATGAATTGATAGATTTGCTTCTGATGGATTTTGTTTCAGGAAAAAAATTACTTTGCCCTAAGATTCTTTTTCTATAAAGGATATTGTAAGCCCAATAAGCAAATCTAGGGTGAGATGCAAATCTGTAAACCCATTGTCCATCTTTCTGTTCTGCAAACTTTATCAGATGCTTGAGCTTTTCAGCAAATGATTGAGTTTCATTATTTGATATATCAGAAACAACCGCACTATTAGTCGGGTCACCTTTTCCATCGGGAAAAAGAGTTGGAAATGCCAATGATGCTAAGAACTGCACATTGAATTCATTTAAAGGCTCACTGCCAATAGTCCAATCATGACATTGTGGTTGCTTAATGAAGGCATCTTCAATAATTTGTTTTTCTTTTTTGGTACTGACATTTGAAGGAATAAAACTACCCATTTCACTATCTGAATTATAAACTCTTTCATTGTCATCGTATTCAACTGGACCACTATCGACTTTAATATGTGAACTTGTTGCACCATTGTTCTCGACTTCACATTCTACCTTTGGTACATTTGAAAGAACTCCATTTTCTGGAAGTTGTGTTAGGTTTTCTTTACTGATTCTGACATCTTTGTATAAGAAATTATTAGGCTCTTCATCTTTGTTTACAACTGTTAGCCGGTATAGAGCATTAGATACTTTTTTACGCCTGACAATAAAATCCTTAGAACAACTGTCTTTACCATTTATAGTAAACACAATGACAGGAAGGTCCTTAGGACATCGTGGCAAAACATCTGCAAGCTGTTGCAGATCTTGGGGCAAAGTTATAACATGACCTTTGTATGCCTTTTGACCACCTCTTGGTTTGGTATACACATGCATAACAGGAAAAGTTCGTGCAATCAACATTTCTTCAAACTGTGTTAAACCTTGCAATTCTTTGGGCACTGGCGATGGGATCATAGAATTTTCAGTTGAAAACTTTTTTGGAGTACTTTTGTCTCTTGTGCAACGTGAACAAGCATAGTTAGGATAACTTTTGGGTTTTGCCTTCAAAGGCCAAGCTTCTTGGCAAATGCTACAATGATAAACAGTGTATTTTATACTGTTGTGAAATTTCCTCATATTTTTAACTGCAAATGGTTGGGAATGAAATTCTTTACCACCTTGCATTGTGTTATTGAAATAAGATGAATTGTTGCTTTTGTCATGGAATACTGAGAAGTTATCTGATTTCTTATTATTATTCAAAGGTAACTCTGATGAAACAGATTGCTTGATAGGATTGGTAGATAGCTTGTCATTTGCTATTGTACTTTCGTGTAAAGAGGCATCATTGGGCAAGACAGATTGTTCAGTTAGGCTTCCATCTATTTTATTCCGTCTTGCAGTCTTGCAATTATCGCTACAAGTTAACTTTACTTTTTTCACTTCTTCATAATTATTAGAAGAGTTCTGGCTTTTGTCATCTACAACAGAGAAATTATCCAGGTTATTATCATTATTCAAAGGCATGTTTGGCAAGGCAGATTGCATAATTTGACGGTTCAACAACTCCCCATTTTCTGTTGCAACTTTGTATAAAGGGAAACTATTGGTTGAGGCAGATTGCTTAGTTGTACTTGAGACATTTGCAGGTGTTTTTATTGTACTGTTGCAATTGCTTTCCACGGTTGAGTCTAACTTTGCCTTTTTCTTTTTTTCTAGTTTTGAACGTTTAGTTTTTCGTTTCTTTGCCTCCTTTGTTTTAAAGATATTTTGTTGCTTAGACTGCTTTATTTCAGTTTTGGAATCAGGATACATGTGCATGGTATGACTTTCTTCAGTAAGCACCTCATAATAGTTGTAGCATGTAACTGGTGTTTGAAAATTGATGTTAGATTTAAAGCATCTTCTCTTAATGGGTATCTCAGTGAAATCTATATTGGATTTCATTTGTTGATTAACTATTCCACATGATTCAGGTTTGGAAACCATGTTGCTATCTTCATAAATTGCAAAGAACCACCCTTTTGAAAACTGCCTTTTTAGAGCAGCTAAAGTACAGAATTCTTTAACACCTACACAAAGATCATCAATGTGGGTCCAGTTCCCTTGAGTAAGAACTGCACAGGTAAAATGTCCATTATAACAACGCACCATCCTCTTTAACTTATATTCACTTGAGCCTACATGCATATTTTCACACAAATTTATCAAATCCATAAGTTCTGGAGAGAATTCAATAAAGACAAATTTTGCCTGTGAACTATAGGTTAAAACTGGGTCATCTGTAGGGGTTTCACAATTAGGACAATTCAACTTACCTGGTTCAGTTTGAATAGCAGAGATAAAATGTGGCCAAGAATTGTGATCCAATTGACATTTTTGTAATGCTGATCTTGTCACATAGTTAACCAAAATAGAGCTTTTGAGAGCTACAGTGTCATGGCAGGTCTTACAAAATGACTGATTGAATGAATGATTCTCTGAGATGAAAATATATTCATTTTTTCTGAAGAAAGCTCACCAAAGGTTCGTTCCTCGAAAATCTGACTGAAGCATGCATTAGAATCCCTTGCCAAAAATGAGGGGCAATGTTGCTGTAAATATACCCAAATTGGTTTCCTTATTTCTATCAACATTCTATCATTTCCTTGTGACTCAATGTATCTTTTACATGTGTTGAAAAGGAGTTCTGTGAATTCATTTCGCACAGTCAGTATAGACAAATAGGGTAAAAATAGATGGGATGAGACTTCTAAAAAAGTGTCCACTGCGCAGGAATACATATTAGGGACACTTAGAATAGAATTCATAAAATGTCCCCTCTTTGAGATTAATGGGTTTATTTCACAATCACCCAACTGAACTTCCTCTGTCATGTTGTTACTATTCATTGAACTACTGTATGCCATAGGATCTGCTTCTATGTTAAACATGCTCATGCTTTCATAAATTACAAAGAACCATCCTTTAGCAAAGTTTCTTTTCAGGGTGGCTAAACTACAAAATTCTTTAACACCTACACAAAGATCATCAATGTAGGTCCAGTTCCCTTGAGTAAGAACTGCACAGGTAAAATGTCCATTATAACAACGCACCATCCCCTTTAACTTATATTCACTTGAGCCTACATGCATATTTTCACACAAATTTATCAAATCCATAAGTTCTGGAGAGAATTCAATAAAGACAAATTTTGCCTGTGAACTATAGGTTAAAAACTGGGTCATCTGTAGGGGTTTCACAATTAGGACAATTCAACTTTCCTGGTTCAGTTTGAATAGCAGAGATAAAATGTGGCCAAGAATTGTGATCCAATTGACATTTTTGTAATGCTGATCTTGTCACATAGTTAACCAAAATAGAGCTTTTGAGAGCTACAGTGTCACGGCAGGTCTTACAAAATGACTGATTGAATGAATGATTCTCTGAGATGAAAATATATTCATTTCCTCTGAAGAAAGATCACCAAAGGTTCGTTCCTCGAAAATCTGACTGAAACACGCATTACAATCTCTTGACAAAAACGAGGGGCAATGGTGTTGTAAATATACCCAAAGCGGTTCCCTTAGTTCTCTCAACAATCTGTCATTTCCTTGTGACTCAATGTATCTTGCACATGTGTTGAAAAGGAGTTCTGTGAATTCATTTTGCGCAGTTAGTATTGACAAATAGGGTAAAAATAGATGGGATGATATCTCAAGGAAACTATCCAACGCACAAGAATAAGTTCCTGGGGTACTTAAAACTGAATTCATAAAGTTCTTTGTTCCAACTGAGGAAACATGTAACACTCACCCACGTAATGATCCAACAGCGTTTTCGTACCTCTTGAACACGTCGATTGTAGTAAGTATCACTCTGAAAATAATCAAAAGTCAAATCCCTAGTTACAACCAGTAATTTCCTTTCTTTGACTACTGTTTACTTTCAGTTGTGCTGCGAGTCCTTCGCGCCCAGTAACAGACTTGCCTCTGACAAATCCAGAAATTGCCGAGTCTTTCGGCTTTGTGCAATAAGCTTGATTTGCGGCTGACAAATCGGAGTTAACCGAGTCTTTCGGTCAAAATGCTAAACTTACACCGTCTTCTGAGCATCGGTGAAATTATTTCTGAATTAACTTCTGTATAACACAAATGATTCAAGACAGCTTTTAAGCACAAAACAGCACTCTCCACGCTTTTCACCCGTTTTTCACACTTTGATGGTCGCGTGGACTTTGACCGAAGAAACTCTAAAACTCTGAGAATAATCCAACATCAAAGCAAACGAGTTAGAAGCTCAACTTTTTCATGTATTTGATATCTGGTTATACTTTAATTATGCTGCAAGTTCTTTGCCTTAAGTTCTCACGTTAGCTAACTCTGCTGTGGACCCTCCGCCGCCTTCGATCGAGACTTCACACAATTGTTTCTCTTTTGACGGATTTTGATCACCTTTTAAACTCAAAACTACCTTTAATTGTTAGAAAGATGCTATACACACTTACCGTTGAACTTGGAAACGCTTCTCGACGCTTTTCAGGGACGCTTAACTCGAAATCTCGACAAGGACAAATCTCGTGTCAAAGACGCCGATCCTAAAAGTCCCCGCACGCGTGACTTTTTGCTGGCCGCCCATGACCATTTGCGGGAAAAACGTTGATACCTTGCGGCCGTGCAAGCGATCAAATCGAGATTTTTTCTGGTTATGATCTCCGAAAATACCCACATTCTCTCTTCTCCAGTCTTCCTCTATATTACGCGGGGAGTCCTAAGGTGCCTCCTCGGGGTTTTGCGGGGGCAAAAAAAGGTTCCTCACGATTTGGGCGTAAATTTGATAAGCTAATCATCGGCAGTACGTCACACGCTTGTCCATACTTATTCAACCTCGATCTTGTTTGGATTTCGTAGTCTTACCAACGTTTATTTATTTTACCTTACCAGGCCAATTTTATGTGGTTTTCCATAGGCTGACTCGCTTTCTCAGCGCAAATTGATCCAAAATAGAAGCGTATCTAACGCACGATCGATTTGAAGATGTGAATCAAAATTTAGAATAAAACATCTTGTAAATCTGCAAATACCTGTTTCTCCAGGGCAGGTACATTGCGGTGAACCAACGTGAAGAACACCAAACAACATCAGCAAGGTGAGCCCAAGAGAAACAGCTGAGAGAAGGCACATAGCCAGCAGAGCCACACGATACAATATCTGACCTTGACTTGCATCGTTCTTCTCGTCAGCAGTTTGCAGCAAACTACAAACACTGCTCATATTCCCGTTTGAAATAGCATTCAGTTGCTCTTGACTGTCAATGGTCGCTTCAGTTTCCTTTTTGGTAAGGTAGAGCTTATCTTCTGCTTCGGCAGGATGGTTTTCTTGAAGTTCTGTTTCACAATTAGACGCCACATTCAAGTTCGATCGTTGCCCAGGGGAAACGCTTCTGCTTAAAAAAGACATGTTCCTCACAAGAGTCGTTACTATAGGTGTGTTATTCTTTGCTTTTCCTTCAAAGGGGCAAAATCAACAGCCAGCAAGATGTAGGCACCCGAAAAGAGGAATAGATATGAAGAGTACACAAACTGCCACGTTATATGTAGTACTATTTCCTCTGCAACGGACTTGTACATACACATAGCAGAGGGGCATTTTGTTGCGCATGTCCGGTAAATTTTAGTTTGATACGAGAAACCGCTGGTATGCGCCTGCACCGGTTTCCCTCTCGAGAATCACGAAAGAAAAGAAGCAATAAAATACGTCGGAAAAAACAATGGTTCGAGTACTTGAGACAACCTTTCTTCTCACTTTTTCTTCTGTAACGTAGATGGAAGCGGCAAATCCTTGAAATTATTGTGTGATGTGTGGAAGGAAGTTATTTTCAGAATGCAAAAGATTGTATGAGTCTTGTCTCGTGATTGTCTGGGCGATCGATGAAGATGATGTTATTTTTGAAGGATGCAAGTGGCCTGTCGAAGAGTACAAAAGAATTGGATAGTATACTTTTATCGTGTCATTGCTATCTCAAGTTATCAGTGATCATTTGAAGTACTCACCTTTCTGTAAGCGTTTTTTAGAGCTTCAACTGTACTGCTAGTGCAGTGTACCTCCAATTTTGGCAAAAATGTAAAGTTAACAGAGGTTTATGTTTTGTTTCAAAAGTTTTTTTTGACATGAATCACAACCAGCAGGGCCAATTACCAAAATAAAAAAGGTCAATGTCAAGTAAAGAAAAGTAAGACAATGCTAATGCTAGAGATATGGTAGCTCCATCTGGTAAGAAACGGAGGAATAATTATGGATTTTATCAGAGTAAGATAAAGTCTGTTGAATCATTAGTCTTGGAAATATCATCAGATATGATCGATGATGTGGGGAAATTGTGAAAGAAAACAAGTACTACTTTGGGCTTCCAGTTGTAAGATGAATTGTTAAACAAATCAATTATTACCCAGTGAAAATCACTATCATTTATCATTTCAACTGCACAAAAAAATCATATACACTCTTTGCAACCTTATTCTCCAACCTATTAAATTACAAGAGTTGTGTGACAATTTGACGGTCTGAAAAGACTCTTACACATGCCAAACAACAAAGAACCGGTAAGGCAAATATTTAACAGTGAGGATAAAAAAAAAAAAAAAAAAAAAAAGCCTTTTCTTTTCAGAAATAAGACTCAGTGAGGTCAGATTAAACTAATGTGAAGAGGTTTGTTGATCTCTTTATGAAAATGGATGCTTTACATCTATCAGATTTTAGAGAAATGAGACTTAAGTCAAAAGGGGATTTTGACATTGCATATTCTGCAGTAATGGGCGTCAGCTTGGATGCCTATTTGCAGAAATTAATAGTTTTCAAGCCAGGGGTTTGGCTGTGCTAATTTTAAGGCAGAAAATCATAAATCAGTCGCTTAAGAAATTTTATAGCTCTGACTGGAAGCTCAAACACTCTTAAGGAACAGGACAATATTTCACCTGATCACTCCTCATATTCTTTTCCCATGAAATTTGGACAAAACTTTCAAAAAACTTTATTGGTAATTTTATTGTAGCAAAAAAGGTATAGACACAAGTTGCATATAGCATAAGCTAGTTGAGGCAAGTGGTGTGGAGAGAACAAAAGATTGATAATTTATACCAGTAGTAAGCTTCTGGTACTAATGACATTCTCTTGAATGCCAGCTTGCCACAGCAAATGTCACACCTATCCTTTCTGTCAATAGTGCCGACCATATGTAGTGAGGTCACTTCACATCTCCCTAAACAGCAGAGAACACAATAGTTAATTCCAATCATCAGTCTCAATTAAGAAATAAAAATTGAAGGATCAAGACTTATCTGGCAAAGAGAAATACAAGTCAAACTGGTTTGAAGACATTTTGACCCGAAATTCGTTTTCAAATATGACAGAAATACTGTAGTTCACATTCTAAAGAAACAAGGAGTTCCAGCCCCTTGAGTAATTATTCATTTGTTGTATCGCTCACCTCATGTTTTAAGAAGCAGAGAAAGTTAGATAATTTTAATCTGCGAGTTTTATAGTACACTTCGACTCAAAATTCATTTCGTATGGCAGAAGTATTCTACTGAAATAAACAAGATAGAATGAAGCTGACGCCATCCGTTTCGAATAACACATGAACATGAAGAAAACGGCACCAGTTTAAACTCATGAGACAAAGCCCACGCATTTTTTTGAGGTAAATGAACTGGTTAGACCGAAAGCTAAATAAATAAACAATGAACTGACAGTGGTGAGCGATTTGGGGGCCATGTGATAAAACAAGTTCTACCGAAGTTTATCCTCTAGTTAGCCCTTCAAGCCCAAAAAGGCAATCAGAAAAATTCTCACCAAAACACAGCAACAAAATTAGATAAAACCGCAGATGATCGAGGCAAGACTATAAACGTTGTTAAGACACATGCCTACGTACCAAGTACAACAGACTTGGAGAGCAAAATAGCCAAAGACAGTTGTGAGCCATGACTTGGAAAATCCACCTCAACCTCCCAAAAACGAATTCGCCGAAGGTTGTAGAAAGAGCAACTCAATCCTGAAGCTGGGACATTTTTTTAAGCCTTGTGTCCAATGGGACAACAAAGAGAAAGAAGAGAAGATGTTATTTGAAGTGATTTGAAGCTTGGGGGCCACCTCCAAGCTAACGTAATTTTATTTCAAAGTTGAAGTAAAATAAGATCAAATTGTAAACTACCTTCTATTATCGTAACGAATATCTCACGATCGCCTCCACACATCACTTCGTGATTCATAGAAGTAAGACATCAACAACAACAAAATGCCCCTCTGCTCATACACATACTATTCTAATTTTCCTCTCTAAATGGTTTATTACCCTCAAAAGTAATTATCGAGAAATGCGCAGCTTAGCATGAGAGAAAGTGCCAGATAATGACGGAATTAACAGTTTAAGCTCAACTATTATTGATATTTCAGGGAGGAATCTGCGTTTAAAAGAACAAAAAAAATTAAAATAGAAGTAAGAAATTTGTGCATACGGGTTAAGACAAAGAAATGATATGATCAGCATTGGCTGCTGATCAGCAAACTTTTTCGCAGTTTTCAAAAATCAGTCAATTCTTCTATTGTTCAACTCTTTGGAATTAAGAAGGATAATTGGCTTATTTCACCTTCATTAAAAAAAAACAAAACAAAAAACAAAAACAAAAAGCATTTCCTGATGTGCTCCTAAGGTCAATGAAACGTTACCCGTTGTACTCCAAGTCGTTCGCAATAAAGAGAAAGCAAACGTTAACCTT